AATGATGTCAGATTTCGTTCCGTGCTAGGAGATTCCTGCTTGTTTATCACGGCGTATAGAACACGACAGAACCAGCTTGATTACTTGCTAAGCTCAACATCAATCATCTCAAGAATTTACAGTTTTCTGATCTGCTTGCAATTGAAAAAAAACTTTCTAGTACACATGAGATGAAAAATATCTCATATGCTAAATTTCAGATAACAATGATTCAAAGCTTCAGATGAAGATCTCGTTTTAAGTCTAAAGGGTAAGACAAACTTACATGGAAACTGCAATATCCGATATTTTAACTCAAATGAAACAAGTAATACTGCAACATTTGCACTCGTAAGCTCATATCATAATGCCAAACATGTCAGAGGAAAAGATGAAAGCACATTGGTCAATTAATAAAATGGTTGAAACGCGAAAGTGTTATTTCATGTCTTTAGTACTCTCTCTTTTGTGTAAAGCACATTCACATGAATTTTGTTACAAAATATCAAATTGTGTATAATTACCTTTCTTTTATATGTGTAGTATGTTTAGCATTCTTATTTGATGATTCGTCAAATCTGAAAATGTTCAGTCATAAACAATGTGTAATAAATTATTTTTTGTCAAGACATTATTCAATGAAAGTTACTGTTTTACATTTTATATAAATTTTATTCATAGCTTTAGAGATTTTGACTCTAAATTTTTCAGCTGTTTTGTTATGTTAATTGTTTATTCTTGGACTGTTTCATGTAGATGCATCATCTACATCAATGCAAATGAATAATTCTCAAATAGTACAACTACAAAAATGAGATAATTGATGGATGTATACTTGTTCCAACTTTATTACTAAATTCGGATCAAGGAGTTGATTATTAACATACCTACAGAAAAAAACTCTTGATGCATAATACATTCAAGTTAAACTAACCCTAAAGGGATCAAATGTTGATGAAAGAATCAAATGATAAACTCTAATGATGACTTCCTAGTTGTTCTCTCCTTCGGGTAAAAATGTATCCAAATATTTGAAAAAATATTTTATCTCAGGTTACATGACATGTTATTTTTTGTACATTTTTTTGTGCATGTTATTTGGATTTTTTTTTGGATATTTACACTATTGATACTACCCAGAATTATTGGATTCTGCAGATGTCCATTGGTGAACTTGTAGGAGAACTTTACTATATACTAAGAATAGCTTTTCCTTGCACAAAAGCGAACAAGTGATAAGTGTCTTACACTCACTCATAACGATAGATATGCATTGCAATAATCATTGGCATTGACTCTTAAGGAAAGCTCTTTTAAAAAATGCAAAATATAACTCCGTTGTATTGTGCATTTCTCCATTCCTTAGTGCTCCAATAACTTTTGTATTATTTAAATTGTGTAACTCCAATAGGGAATTGTTTAGCATACTATTTTTCACTCCCAACTTGTATTGAACTTACTCCAGTGCACTCCACATAATAAGAAAGAGGAGATGCTTGGTTGGATACTTCTGGATTATTTTTGTGGTATTCAAAAGTAGAGGTTCGTTGATATTCGGGATCGTCTAAGGGGAAGGGTTTCAGGAAAGGGCAATAGTTACCGACCCTGTCATAAGACGTGTATGTTTTCCATTCTACACTTTCTCAGATCCGTGCCCATGTCTACAATCAAATCAGTGTCGATGCATTGCTGCAGTAAGTGGTGATCTATGACTTCCTGCAACTTACTGAAGTGGGCAGTGCTGAAGAAGAGATTTACTCGAAATGCTATAGTGGAAACTAAAAACCTCTCTCGAATATTTTCCCACATTTTCTTGTTTTGTCTTTCTGGAAGTCCAAGCAGATAGGATAATTTTGTTAAATTTGCAAACTTAAAATGAATGAACCTTAATACAGAAAAAGGATAATGAGTTGGTGGTGCTCAGATGACAGACTATTCACCAGTTCAAACCTCTCCACATCATCAATCTTGACACCAGAAACAGGTCTGCTGCCCTTTCTGCAAGTCGGCACCGCCTTGCCAAGCACGACGATTAGAAAGAATTGCCTAGAATTGCCTAGCTTCAGCGAGCGAAATGTCTCCAATTGTGTACTAAGGAAGACTTTCCTGTACCTGATCTCAGCGTGCACACATGTAAGAACTTGTGGACCTCTACTACTGCAAACTCTATATCAATTCTTTTGTAATTAACTCCCTTGCGCATAGAATTTACAGCAGACAATTACGCTGCTATTGAATCACATATTCTGTCACTCCTGATAGCAGTTCAAGAAAAAGTAGATAAATTGTTATGATTGTTTCACACATTGTACCGAGCACCCAGTTCAGACGAAAAATCAGCAGAGACGACAGATTGGGCGCAACAAATCTAGCTAGATGCTGTGACATATCTGAGAAGTCATTTGGATTCTTACTTCTTGACCTCTTTCTCACAAACCCTGCACCATCCTCAACTTAAAACTGCAATGTCTATTCAATCACACGCCACACAATCTGACCCAGGAGGTCTGCGCCGCAGGTTTCGTCTTATCCAGGGCCTGCTGCTTGAATTCCTGACGAGTGTTGCGAATGCGAGGTGAAGAAAGAACACAACTTGAACACTGCATGTGGTCGGACCATGCAGATATCCGAAATTTAGTTTGACTTCACGTAAACTACAATTGTCGATAGAAAAGCACTTTATGCTAAAGTGCTAAACTGGCTCATTACAAGTAATCAAGTAATCGGCGTACATCTTTGTCTTGTTCTGGATACTCCTCTAAAACACTTTTCTGGATGGCTGGGTTGCACTCATCAGGTTAATGCAGAAAATCTTCTATGAAACCTTGGAAGTTAAGCGAAGAATTAAGAGAGATATTCCATGAGTAATTTACCGAGAAATATTATTACATCTGAGATTGAAGCAAGGAGTAGCGGGCAGCGGTCTTCAAAGTGCTAATTTGAGATTCACCATGAATGATAAGAATCAGAGGGATCGCCGGTAGGAACCAAGATCCTGAAAAGAATCCACTGGCATGGATCGGCTTTGAATCAACACGGGCTATGGACAACTTTACGACAAAGCGACTATCATCATTCTTTGACTGAAGTGTGGATCAGTCACATTGACTACTCAGACTCTAGAAACCTTCTTTTCCTGGAACTCTGTAATCAACACCATACTTCCAATAGTGATCCGTTACGTGAATTTATTACAAAGAAGCTACCACTTACACCTCCTCAGATTCTAGAAACCTTCTTTCCTGGAACTCTGTAATCAACACCATACTTCCAATAGTGATCCGTTGCGTGAATTTATTACAAAGAAGCTACCACTTACACCTCAGCAACTTCGACTCATTTGGAAATATGGAATGTGCTCTGAATGCACCTCGCCTGACACTGATGGTCCCCAGCAATATCAATGTAACACGAGCTCCTTTGCGTATATGGCGAGAAAAGAAGAGCGAAGGTTTGAATAGACGATCAGAAAGTGAAGAGTAAAGAAAGCCAAGAGCTGTCGCTGACCGCAGTCAACTTTAGCTCCTAACGTAGAAGGCTGTCCAGCCGGTGTTCGTATGAATGGCCCCGGCCGTCAGCCGGTGGAGGTTGCTTGAGTGAAAATTCTTACTAAAACTAAAATGCTGGGATGTGGATGATTCTTTGTGCATGTTCAAGGAGGCAGCGATGCAGACTCCCCGAATACCTTCAAGTAGAAAGATAAAGATAGGAAGCATCGAGTCAAGGGAAGAGACATTAGGCAAAAAATACAAAATATCACATCAACAATTTTTACCAATGGCCCTTCATTTCTGGATTAGCAGATGCTAGCTTTATTATCATCACGTCTGAAGTCAATAGTAGATGACCTGCATCAAACACTGCTGATCCAGTCTCAGGGATTCCCATGAGTGTATGTACACAATTCTCTTCGTCCAGATAGAAAGAATGTCTCTCATCTAAGCGAAACAACAGCAGAATTTATGTCACTTTTGAGAGTCATGGTTTCTTAAGTTTTCACTCCGTCCACCATATGATGCCTGAAGGCTCCATAATTTGATATTTTACGCTCCACTTCGCCCCTGCATTTCGGAGCGAGTATGGATTTTACTAGTGTGTATAAACATTCATCATATTATGGCAACTACAGTAATTCCGCACCTGGATAGCAATAAATTTGCATATCAGATCCCTTCAGAGATAAGGGTGATGGAAGGTTGTGATGTCATCAGTACCTTATTGGCAGCAATGAAGTAAGCATCTTTCGGCATAAAATGTCTTGTGTACTTCTGATGGTGGCAAAATCGAGATTTGCTAAAAATATCGATCGGTATATCTGATGGACCTCTGTGTCAACCTTTTAAAGAAGGTTTCAAGATCTGATAACACGGCATCATCTTAGGAAGTGTGGTTAGCTGTAGTAATGCTTACAATTAGTTTCAATCAATTCTTAGATATAAGGAGCTCTCATCAAAGTAAGTTTGAATATCTTCCTTACAAATTTACGAAGTTTAAAAATCATTCATACACAAACTTTGTTAACGGCCTAAACCCTTTGTTATCGGCCAGAGAAGTGAGGAGAGTGTTAATTTGAAAAAGTTGGAACAAGATCAAGGTGTAATAACTTTGAGACATTTTCATACTGCAAGCGGTGTTTATCATGAATCAACTAGTTTTACGTGACCAACGTTAACTACTTGACTAAAGTTTGTAAGTACAAGGTCGAGCGGTTAGTGAAGTCATAAATAAATTTATAAATGAAAGTCAATTCAGGAGGGTGTTTTGAGGGACGATGAGAGGAACATACAAAACATGGAGAAGTTAGAATTCTTTTCTACCTGTAAGCATGTACTCTCTGAGGCATAAACACCATATGATGCATCTCTCAAAGAGCCTGTTGAGCTTCAACTGGAGTTGGGAGATGAGAACGTGACCACTTGTGTCCCAAAACATGAGTTTTAATAACGAGGAGTCCGGATGACAAAGACTTTAGAGAATTCCTTCCAAATAGGAATACAGGAGCAAATGAAGGCTTTTGCAAGAAGGAAGATTACGAAGGAAGATTTTGCAAAGGTTCATGTGGCATCAGTGTCTAAACATATACTTGTCAACTGCATAATGACATTTTAACCTCTTCAAATTCCTAATTTGTCAAAATGCCAGAGCGACGACCTTTCTCCATGCACTCCTCGCACACCCACGCATGCCCACCTAATTCTAGTCTCACGTATTTCACCTGATACAACTTGAAGATTGACGAATAGTTATCTCGAAGCCTGGGCGCAAGAGTTTGCTGAATCCTCAACCATGCTTCTTCAAGCTCCATGCTTTCCCCACCTTTTAGAACTGCCCTCCGATCACGATCGCTAATGCCATCTAGTTTAACAATATCAGATTTTAAATCTCCCCAATCCGGAATCGCTTGGCCTACTCCGAGGGTCGCATCTAGTCCAGCCTTTGCAGCATAATACATGAGTTTGAATGAAATTTCAATAGTTTTTCGAATCCACCCACAGTTCTCCCGATCAAAGCGGATTTTTAAACCTTCTTGATCTTTCACAAGGTGAAATCCAGTCTCAGACTCACACATCAAGTGTAATCGAACGGTTATCCCGACATGCAGTTTTGCACTCATTCTATAGAAAATGTTAACATCATCCGTAACGTAAGGTCGCTTGGGGGCTCTGGTCTGCTGAAACTCTAGAGGATACTCAATAATCCTGTCCACTTTAGACATGAAATCACTCAGCGTTGACAGAAATTCTTGTTGCAGAGAGAGTATCTGTCCCATCTTCATCTCCAATCTCTGCAAACCTAATCTCAACCTCTCATCAACACCATCAACCTTTTTTTCAATCCTCTCCAAAGCATCTCGGATTTCACGAGATTCAACACTTGTGCTCTCCCGACTTAAGCACCTGGATGAAGGTCGATTGGAGTCTTTCATTTCAGGGTAAGAATGAATCAGATCTTTGTTCACTTCGTTTAAACCTTGCTGCAATGAGCCCAATTGTTGCATTCGCTTCTGTTGGATCTCATTCACAACCGCTTCCACATCGTTTTCCCACAACAAATCCCTAGCTCTTTCGGAAATTACCCCTGTGTGCCCTCCAATCGCATCCCAAGAGTGCTCATAGCTGAACAACTCTTCCTCCTTCACCAAGTGAAACCTATCCAATTGAATATCCTCAAGTTTGTCATTAATGTCACGAATGAAGTTTGATTTCAGCTCCTCGATTAGAATGGCTCCTCTGAGATGACTTGGAATCAGCTTCTCCACGCAATGTGTTTGGATCACTCCGAGCACTAACGCCACCCCGGGACAGCCTTTGGATGATGCGCAAAATGATATCAATTCCTTGACGATATGCTTCATCAAGTATTGCAGAGCCTTTGACCTTGATTTATGCTTTGAGAGTAACATCAGAACATCCACGTAATTGTGAGACTTTCCTTGCTCGACATAGATCTCGTGTCCATCAAGGAAAAGTCGCAGATAATGTCGAAAGCAGGTTACAAGTTTCTTGGAGACACACATCTCCGATATCAACTTGCGTCTCATGAACATCTACAATGATACAAAATTAGGTAAATATTGAGTTACGCATTTCCCAAATTGAATTCAACTAATGAGAAGTGAAAATTCATCAAACACAACTTACAATCAGAACTCCAAGCAATTAATTTTCTCACAGTATATATGAAATCACCTGGAAGCATGGGAAAAAAGCAGCAGTCAATGACATTGTTCTTCCATCTTGGCATTGAATCCGGATGCCCACAAATTGTGAAGTCTCTCTCCTAGGTTCTGAAGCTATCGACTCCAAGTCCTTCTCTTCTGGAGGCTTCTGTCCTTCACTGCTTGCATGCTCACCCCTAGATTCCCAAGCCATCGACCCCAAATCCTTCTCTTCTTGAGGCTTCTGTCCTTCAGTGCTTGCATGCTCAGGTATGAAGGAGGGAATGAAATACTGAGAAGTATCTTCCACCTTGAAACACAAATCTAAATTAATAAGTATGTTCTCAATCAGCTCTCTGTCCACACCTTTCTGTCCATGCGGTTGCTTTCGCAGAAACTCTTCTATCAACCCAGCAAAGACACTCTCACTCACAAATCCGTCCTTGCTTGAGTATGAGTCAGGCGACGTTCTTTTATGCTCTTGAGCTTGAAAGTTTTGACCCAGAGATACCAACTCACCCAATAATTTATTGGTGAGCCAGTTTGGATCAACAATGATGTAATCAAGATTGGGGATAGAAATTATGGATCCAACGTCATTCAAATAAGATATGATTGATTTCATTATCCTTGAATGAGGGGAAGAATATGGACAGAACTTTATCAAGATGGGGGTACAAAAGTTATGAAACTTTTTTGATGACCAAAGAGGGCACTTTCTGTTTTTCTTGGTTTTTTTAACCAAGTGATGTGAGAGTTGAGTACACAATTGAGGAACGCGTGGAGATTTTTCACTCAACAACTCACGAAAGATCTCAAAAATGTGATTTTTGAGAAGAATAACTTGCTCTGTCTCTCTAGTGTCCACATGAAAAAACTCTTGAATAGGGCGAAGATCTACAAATCTTGCAAATCTTTTAGCGAGCTTGACCATTATGAAGTGAGCCCAATTCAAAGATTTGCATCTGGCTTTATCCTTGTGTGAAATCACAACAAGAACTTGTGGAAGATTAAGTCCTGTGACCCTAGTGCTAGATGTAATAAAACTCAACCATTCTTCCAACTCTCTCTCAAAACAAGATTCTTCTTTGTATATTTTTTTTTTCTGACAGAAGGGGCTATAAACAAATAAAAAAACACAAAAATTGTTGGTTTGAGGGAATAGCACACTTTGAAGGGTACGAAAAATCTCTTGACCCGCAAGATCCCAAACTGAGATTTGACTTTCGTCATTGTTTTGCAGGAACTCTACTTCAATTCCTTCCGTCCTCCACTTGAATTTGGCCCATTTTTTTCGTACCCAATTTGTGCCGTGTACCAGTGTTAGACGTAATTGAGTCTTGCCTATAAATTGAATACACATAAACACAACAAATATAACTTGTTACTTGAGAGGTTTTTACAAATTACTTGATACCATATTCTTTGAGTATGATAAACAATAGTGGAAAAAATTTGAATTTCAAATCAAATCTGAAATTATTAAAAAAGATCTTATTTAAATTTGAATTCATTGGCTTTTGACTTTTAGTTTCTTATATTTTTGTTTTATTTTTCACATGAATCCAACAACATCTAGATAAATAAATAAACTTCATAATTTAATCTTAAATTTGAGAAGTAAAACCTCAGATTGCTAGTTCAAAAAACTTCGAACTTAGAAAGCAGCTTACCTGCTAGAGGAGAGCCACAGAGAAAGAGTCGACCAGCTTTTGCATCTCCAAATTTCAGTTTGGCCTCTACGAACACGGACATGTAGGCGGCCCGCTTCTGGTTCTGCTTGAGCGCCGCTTGAATCAGCGCCCCCTTTCCGTCCCTTTCCCATGGGGTGCGCGAGAGATCTATTTCCTGGAGAGTCAAGTTGACTTGCAATAGCCCCATCAGATCCCTGAACGCCTCTTCGTCGAGACGGCTCGAACTCAATTCCAAGTGAGTGAGACTTGTGTTCCCTCGCAGGCACAAAAGCAGCTCCTTCCATACTTCCTTCCAAGCATCTTCTTTCTCAACATGCAATCCGAGTCTCTTCAGGACGGAAGCTTCTCCAGTTTGTCCCTTCATCGACAGGAAACTTTCCGGTCTATCTTGGTTAGCACCTGAAGATCTACATTCCATTATACTGAAAGATTTCAGAGATTTGATTTCACCGCGCAGTACCCTACCTAATAGGTTTAGTGATAACATCAACTCATCGTCACCCAAAAAACAGAGTACAAGCTCCACAGTGGGGTCCTTGACATTGGAGCTAGCAGCACGCGCAAGAGTTTCTATTGACTCCCAGTTATCTCCAACATACTTCCCATCAAAGCTAACTTGAGTGTTTGTTGCTATAGCATTGTCACGTATGAATTCGCCGAGCTGGCGCCATTCCTCAGAACTCATCCGCAAGTTGTTCAACCTCACTTCCTTCAATGATGGGTTGGAAGTAAGAACTTCCCTTAAACAGCCTCCGAGTCCATCCATACGCTGCAGCCAAAGACGTTCAATGGATCGGTTGCCATCATCTCGGGCCAAAGCGTTCAGCAACAAGGCCTCTCCCCACTTCACTCCATATAATGCCAATACTTTTAACGACGAGCTCTGGATCAAAGCCTGGGACAGAATTCCAACGGTCTCCTCACTCAAATTGGTATCTACTATACGCAATTTTTTTACGCTAGAGGAATTCAGCATTCTCCCTATCTGTGAACACAAGCTCTCCACTTCCGCATCTGAACTCCATTCCAAATCCCAAAGGGATATGGTTTCTAGAACGGTGCTAGATTTAAATCCTCTGAACACAACCTCCCACTCACTTTCCGTCAACCTCGATATATCTCCACCACAAATTATATCCACATCTAGGCTCTCAAAGGTGTTGCAGTTGCCGATTGCCTCCAGTACTTGAAGGCGCACTTGGCTTCGCCACCCTGTGATCGTCGCGGGCGATGCAATCTTCGGGAAGAAATCCCAAAATTCTTTCTCGCTTAATTCGGGAAGATCCGTTATCGGCTCGCCTTTTCCTTCCAGACGCCGTATAAGGTCCTGGACAGCGGAGGGAAGCTCCGGTGCCTCGTCTGCAGAGTCCATTCCCCGTGTCTCAGCAGCGCGACTGACATTGGACGCACCTGCACCTTCCATTCTCTCCTCAGAGTAAGAAACGTTTGCTGCTTGGCATGCGCGAGGCCTACAGGCCCCTGCCTCGATCCGAAGGACCGGCTCACCCAAAGAGAACTAACTTCTCGACGCAAGTGTGACAACTTGTGTGCATGTGACTGCTGGCCATGACGCTTCTTGCACTCTGCACGAGGACATGCACAAGATTAATCTTAACTCTGCAAGGAATCGGATCAAGAGCAATCAATCACCACGAACCTAGGGAAATTGTGAAAACTGGAAGTAAGAGGCTGCTCGAGCTCAGTGCGATAGGAATCAAATGAATGCAGATATTCAATATTCCGGATCCAAAACAGATCGTAGAGTGTGTGCAAAGGGACGCAAACCTATTGTGAAATTGAACGGAGAGATCTGTTTGATTTGCACTGGTAAACCAACTGAGTGTACACAAGCTAAAAGATCTGCAGGTGAATCTGAAATCCAAAAATTTGGTTCGCAGCAAAGATGGTGCGATGTGGACTCAGATTATCATAGAAAGCATGAAAGCGCAGATGTCTCAGATGTGATGTACTCTGCTTTGTGTAAAACTCCATGTACAATTGGACTGGGAGAATGCGAATCTAGCTACATCAAGACCCACGGGAAGACAGACCCTCCGAAGGGTAGCGTGTAGAAATTTGCAGCTTGATCATCACATCTTCTCATTAAATTGTGTGGATGATCGAGGTAGCGACAACATACGAACACAACAAGCGTGTTCCTCCACACTCGGTCTGATTGGAAAGTGTTCTTAGAGAACGTCAGAATAAAGCTTGACTTTCTTGTGCAAGCGAACGTGATAATTGAGTGAATGCATCAGTGTGCTGATACACTCGATGTCGTCACGGGGACAACAGGAATTTAAAATATTTTTGATCTATTCAAGCAAGTGGATGTATTCTGACAACTGAGAGCTACGTGGGTAGTCAGCTCGGTGGGCAAAGTCTGCGGACAACAGAGATTTAGAGAATCTTTGATCTATTCAAGCGAGTGGATGTATTCTGATAACTGAGAGGCAAGTGGGTAGTCAGCTCAGTGGGCAAAGTCTGTTGTGCTCTTTTCTTGCTTTGACGATCGGTACAGTAGTCTACATTACTCTGCATATCTTGTAGGTTAAGAAACTGATAAACTTTGTGGGAGTTTTCTAAACATTATGTCGAAAGAATGGGTACAGAGCACACAAGGACTCGAGGTTTTTAAATGCTGGTATGATTGTTCTTCTACCTCAACTGTCAAGCATGCACAGTTCTAACAACAGTGTCTGGAGGTCTTTCAACCTCAAAAATTAGAATGAAATTAGATTTCGTCCGTGCTAAGAGGAATCCTGCTTGTTTATCTGGGCGTATAGAACACGACAGAACCAGTCTGATTACTTGCTAAGCTCAACATCAATCATCTCAAGAATTTACAATTTTCTAATCTGCTTGCAATTGAAGAAAAACTATCTAGTATACATGAGATGAAAAATACCTCATATGCTAACAATGATTCAAAATTGCAGATGAAGATCTCGTTTTAAGTCTAAAGGGTAAGACAAACTTACATGGAAACTGCAATATCCGATATTTTAACTCAAATGAAACAAGTGATACTGCAACTTTTGCACTCTTAAGCTCATATCATAATTCCAAACATGTCAGAGGAAAAGATGAAAGCACATTGGTCAATTGATAAAACGGTTGAAACGCGAAAGTGTTATTTCATGTCTTTAGTACTCTCTCTTTTGTGTAAAGCACATTCACATGAATTTTTGTTACAAAATATCAAATTGTGATTAATTACCTTTCTATTATATGTGTAGTATGTTTAGCATCTTTATTTCATGATTAGTCAAATCTGAAGATGTTCAGTCATAAACAATGTGTAATAAATTTTTTCTGTCAAGACATTATTCAATGAAAGTTACTGTTTTACATTTTATATGAATTTTTTTCTTAGCTTCAGAGATTTTGGCTCTTAATTCTTCAGCTTTTTTAGTTTATTTTTTATTTTTTATTCTTGGACTGTTTCAGGTAGATGCATCATCTACATTTATGCAACTGAATAATTCTCAAATAGTACAACTACAAAAATGAGATAATTGCTGGATGTTTACTTGTTACAACTTTATTACTAAACTTGGAACAAGAAGTTGATTATTACATTGTAAGTTATTTTTTTTAAGTTTTTATTAACATATCTACAGAAAAACTCTTGATGCATAATACATTCAAGTTAAACTAACCCTGAAGGGATCAAATGTTGATGAAAGAATCAAATGATAAACTCTAATAATAACTCCCTAGTTGTTCTCTCCTTCGGGTAAAAATGTATTCAAATATTAGAGAAAAATATGTTATCTCAGGTTACTTGACTTTAAACTAGTGTCTTACGCTCAATCATGACTATAGATATGCCTTGCAATAATCATTGGCATTGACTCTTAAGGAAAGCTCTTCTAAAAAATGCAAAATATAACTCCCTTGTATTGTCCATTTCGCCATTCCTTAGTGCTCCATAAATTTATATATTATTTAAATTGTTTAACTCCAATAAGGAATTGTTTAGCATATTAATTTCACTCCCAACTTGTATTGAACTTACTCCAATGCTCTCAACAGAGGAAGAAAGTGAAGATGCTTGCTTGGATACTTTTGGATTATTTTTGTGGTATTCAAAAGTAGAGGTTGGTTGATATTGAGTGTGTAGTACTCATCCACATGCAACCCTCCGTTCAAGGAAGTGGACGGAGTGACATAAGAACGATGGCTTCCTTGAACGATTCTCCATAAGAAAGTGAAGATGCTAGGCTGGATACTTTTGATCTGTACTGCGGGACCTTACCTAACAAGTACAGCGCACAAGACAATGTCGCAACTGCAAAGTCCAATAGAATCTCGAGTTCATTCCACAGAAGAAAGTGAAATGCTTGGCTAGATACTTTTGATCTTTATTGTGAGACCTTACCTAACAAGTACAACGCACGAGACAATGCCTCAACTAAAGAGTCCAAGAGAATCACACCACAACTTTATCTTTCACTCTAAACACACATTTCAAGCCGACCCTCATCTCAGTTGAATCTTTCAACGCAAAAGCCTCTATATTCCTTCGGGTTATTCTAGGTGTCCACATGAGTACTGTTGACTTTAAGAACCGGTATATACCCTTTTGTAGTTTATCAGTCTGCGTGCCAACCAAGCTGTCACTATGAAACTGAGCATTTTGTTCATAGAGAATGATGCGACTGAGTACCACCATCCTCCAAGAGCATGAACGCTTATGAGGTCGCTCTCCAAGCAATCATGAAGAAGCCTCTCCTCTACAGGTGAGTACTATCAAGCTGCTGGGATCCGGGAATAGTGAAAATCATGCAGAATCGCATAGATTAGCACAAGTATGATATTGTGGGTGATTAATTAAAATGCTGTGAACCACTTAACATCTCCAAACTGTGTTCCACCAATAACTCAACATCATAAGTGACTGCCGTCTTGATGTTTGTTCTTCTGGAATGCAGCGTCAGAGTCTGAGGAAAACACTATTCACCAAGTGGGAATAATGACAGCGCTATGAAGCTTCTGATTTCGATAAAATTTAATCTCGAAACATATGTCGTTGTGACATTCAGGAAAAAGTTTTACGTACAGCTCCCTCAAAATTCCATTGACTCTATTCAGCGTACAAATAAGTCTACAAGGTTGCGTCACATGGTGCTCGGACATGCCCTACGATGAAAAAGAATCCAGGAACGGGACATAGTCCAGCAGGTGAATTCACTTCATACAGTAGTATTCAAAGTTGTGCTAACTTATATGCAACTCTTGTTGACCGTGCGCCGAATGTTCGGTGTCAGTTCGCTCCCTGGACTATTCTTGTAATAGAGTAGCCAAATAGTCCCGAAGACCCAGTCACTGAAACGATGGATTTGTTCCTCTTTGTCTAAATCAGTTTTGATGCTTTAGTCTGATTAAAGTAGTTTAGATTCACATTTGCCCGAATATGAAACGCATATGTTTTCCATAATACCCTTTTTTCAGATCCCTGCCCATGTCTACAATCAAATCAGTGTCGATGCATTGCTGCAGTAAGTGGTGATCGATGACTTCCTACAACTTACTGAAGTGGAAGTGCTGAGGAAGAGATTTCCTGGAAGTGCTGTAGTGGAAACCAAAAAACTCTCTCGAATCTTCATCAAATTGTCGTGTTTTGACTTTCAGAGAGTCCATGGCGGACCGGATGAATTTGTTAAATTAACATGAACATGAATGCAGAAAAATCATGCTGAGTTCGTGGTGGTTAGAAGACAGACTATTCACCAGTTCAAACCATATCATGAATCTTGCCACCAGAAACAGGTCTGCTGCCGTTTCTGCACCACATTGCCGGGCGCACCGATTCCAAGGAGTTGGCGACTTTCAGCTAGCAAATGGTCTCAAAATGTGTACTAAGGAAGACTTTCCGTACCTGATCTCAGCGTGGGAACATGGACCTCTACTTACGCAGCCTCGAGATCAATCCTTTCTCAATTACCTCCCTTGAACACAGAATTTATAACAAACAACCACGCATACTTTTCTCCAATATTTTTTGATTTCTTTGTTGGGTATCCTCACTATTGGTACTGCCTAGAATTCTTGGATTCTGCATAGTTATAGTAAAACTTTACTTTACCCTAGGAATCGCTTTTGCAAACACGTGAAAAATGTATTTCACTCTGATGACAACATAGCTATACTACTGTACTATAATGATTGGTATTGACTTTTAATGCAAGGACTTCTAAAAAATACACAATATAATTCTTTATTCCTCAGTGCCTCATAAACTTAATTATTTATATATATTTAAATTTTTTGAACTCCAACCGCAAGTTGTTTAGTAGACTGCTTCTCACACCCGACTTGTATTCAACTTACTCCAGTTTACTTCACGGAAGAAGTGAAAATGCTCGGTTCGATACTTTTGACCTTTATTGTGGGACCTTACCTAATAAGTACAGCGCAGAAGACAATGACTCAATTGCATCTTTATTGTGGTACCTTACCTAACAAGTACAACGCACAAGACAATGACTCAATTCCATCTTTATTGTGATACCTTACCTAACACGTACAGCGCACAAGACAATCACTAAATTGCAAAGTCCAACAAAATCTCCGATTCACTCTATAGAAGAAAGTGAAGATGCTTGGCTGGATATTTTTTATATTAATTGTGGAACCTTACCTAACAGCTACAACGCAATGGACAATCACTCAACTGCAAAGTAGAAGAGAATCACGCCACTGTATCTTTTTTTATTGTTTCAAAGATTATTATTTTTTACTTTCAATATAAGCCGACCCTGAGCTAAGTTGAAAATTTCACCGGAGAAGCTTCCTCATGGCTTCTACTTATTCCATATGACCACAGGAGGAACGTTGACTTGAGAAACTGGTATGAACTCTTTCGTGGTTTATCAGTCTGAACGCAGGAAGTGCCAACCTCATTGTCACAGTTAAACTGAGCATTTTGTTCATGGAGATTGGTGCGACTGAGTAGCACCATCCTCCAAGAGGATAAACGCTTATGAGGCCGCTTCCAAAGCAATCATGAACAAGTCTCTCCTCTACTGGTGAGTATTATCGAGCTGCTGGGATACGGGAATAGTAAATATCAAGCACAATCGCATAGATTAGCGCAAGTATGATATTGGGGATGATTGATTAAAATGCTGTGAAACACGTAACATCTCCAAACTGTGTTCCACCAGCAACTGTACCTCATAATTGAGGGCCGGATGTTTGTTCTTCTGGAATGCAGCTTCAGGGTCTGAGGAAAACATTATTCACCATGTGTGAATAATGACAGCGCTATGAAGCTTTTGAGTTCGATAGAATTTAATCTCGAAACATGTGTCCTTCTGACATCGAGAAAATAGTTTCACGTAGAGCACCTTGGAAATTTCAGTGACTCTATTCAGTGTACAAATAACTGTACCACCTTGAGTCGCATGGAGCTCAGAGATGCCCGGCAATGAAGAAGAATCTAGAAACTAGTCTTAGTTCAGCAGCTGAATTCTCTTCATGCACTAATATTCATACTTGCGGTGATTCATATGTAACTCTAGTTGACCTTGCGCAGTCTGCACAAGTCGGGGACCTCGGCGTTCTCAAATCCGAACTTCATAAACTTTGTGAAGAAGATCGCCACAGTTTTAAATTGTCCATGAACCTTATTTTCCAAACGGCTTCAGAACATGTTCAGTGTTAGTTCGATCCCTGCCAGGGAGCTAACTGACAACAAGGATAGTTTAGGGAGTCCCTGGACTATCCCTGTTGTAGCCAAATAGTCCATAAGACCCGGTCACAAAAACGATGGAATGGTTCCTCTGTCAAAATCATTTCCAATGCCTTTGTCTCATTATGGTGATTTCGATTCACCCTTGCCTGAAAACGGAAGGCAGAATGGATATTGGAAAGACAGTTTGGCATCCGATCATATTTTATTGGGGCACACCATCGACTATGACAACTTAGCTATATTTTTTGAAAACAACCGAAAGTCAGGAGAATCTGTAGCACATTCTTCCCTGCTCCAATTTGGCTACAGTTGTAATTCCCATCACGAAATTCACGACATAAGCTTGGCATAAACAATACCTCCTTTTACCTGCAGTGGCTTTCGGGATCGTATACCGGGAAAGGTTTCAGGAAAGCGCAATAGTCCCCACCCTGTCATAAGACGTGTATGTTTCCCATTGTACACTTTCTCAGATCCGTGCCCATGTCTACAATCAAATCATTGTCGAAGCATTTCTGCGGTAAGTGGTGATCGATGACTTCCTGCAACTTACTGAAGTGGGCAGTGCTGAAGAAAAGATTTACTCGAAGTGCTATAGTGGAAACTAAAAACCTCTCTCGAATCTTCATCACATTTTCATGTTTTGACTTTCAGGGAGTCCATGGCGGACCGGATGATTTTGCTAAATTTGCAAACTTAACATGAATGAACCTGAATACAGAAAAAGCATGTTGCTTAGAATGAACTGGTATCAGGAGTGACGAAATATATGATTCAATAGCAGCGTAATTGTCTGCTGTAAATTCTCTGCGCAAGGGAGTTGAGGTAGTAGAGGTCCACAAGTTCTTACATGTGGCCACGCTGAGATCAGGTACGGGAAAGTCGTCCTTAGTACACAGTTTGATCGCTGAAGCTCGGCAATTCTTTGGAATCGGCGTGCCTGGCAAGGCAGTGCCGACTTGCAGAAACGGCAGCAGACCTGTTTCTGGTGGCAAGATTGATGGTGTGGTGAGGCACCCAGTTCATACGAAAATCAGCAAAGACGACAGATTGGGCGCAACAAATCTAACTAGCTGCAGTCACATATCTAAGAAATCATTCGGATTCTTAATTCTTGACCCTCTTTCTCACAAACTCTTTCCCATCCCTCAAAGTAAAACTGCAGTGTCTTTCAAATCACAGGCCAAACAATCTAACCCAGGAGGTCTGCGCCCTGGTTTCGTCTCTTCCAGATCCTGCCGCTTGAATTCATGACGAGTTGCCAGGGGAGGAAAGTCCACATCTTGAACACTGCATGGGTCGGACCAGGCAGATATCCGAGATTTAGTTTGACTTCACGTAAAGTACAATTGTATGCTAGAATCCTAAACTGGCTCATTATAAGTAATCAAGTAATGGGCGTACAACTTTGTTTCGTTCTGGATACTCCTCTAGAACACTTTTCTGGGTGGCTGGGTTGCACTCATCAAGTTTATGCAGACAATCTTACATGAAACCTTGGACGTTAAGCGAAGAATGAAGAGAGATATTCCATGAGTAATAACCGTTAGTTTTTTATTGCATCTTTCCATGACGATTTGGTCTCTTGTCTTTATGGCATGTCCCTCACTACTCTCAGGGAGGAGCGGAGGGAAGCCCAAGCTCAAAATTTCTCATTGGTGCGCAACAGCTCCTTTTTATCATTAATCAACTACTCAATGACATGTGTGTTAATCACGGATCTTGAAAGACAGCTATAATAGAAATGGTGTCTCTGCTGCAGTTATTCCACATTAAAACGTATAAACAACACAACCTAGCCAAAGCATCTGCCAGTCTGAAAATGCTTTGAATAGAAAGTAAAAGAATTGATGCTTTTACCTGAAAGCGGGTAATTCTCCGTACGATGTTCTTCTGCGCGTCGAAGTACACCGTGTTCATGCTAATTTGAGATTCGCCGAAAGTGATGAGAACGAGAAGGGTACCCAATCGCAGCCAAGAACATAAAAAGAACCACTCGTGACGATCGGCTTTGCATGAACACGGGCTATAGACAGCTTTACAACTATCGTAATCCTTTGCCTAAAGTGTTGATAAGTTACATCTACTACTTGGACTCCAGAAACCTTCTTTTCCAGGCACTGTAATCAACACCAGCTGTACTTTGCGTGAATCAGTTGGAAAGAAGCTCCCACTTCCACTTGAAACAACGACGCCCCACGGTGATGGGCCAGAGCAATATCAGTGTCTGGAAAGATACTCCGCCAATATGGGTTCTGGTCGCTGGAAGAAAACAACAGCGGACGAACAAGGGTTTGAGTAGAAGTGGAAGAGGCGCCTAAGCCAATAGCATTTGGTTACGCCTCTCATAACGGTGTTGGAATGAAAGGCAGCGGTCAGCCCAGTCAGTTGTGGTGGCTTTAGTTAAAAGTTCAACAAGTCCCCGCGCGTATGTACAAGAGTATAATGTAAAAAGTAAAAGAACTAGAATACAATCAACTCTCATGAAACCCCAGAAACTGGGCTACACTCCATTATCATCACAATGGTAAAACCGAACTATATCAAGTACCACGTCCCAATTATATACATATAACACCAATGCTTTTCATATAATCTATAGATTTTTCACTAGGATTGTAAATGTAAAAATCAATTATAGAAAGTAAGTGATAAGTAAGCGATACTAGTAAATAAATATTCTTGTGAATTTTTATAAGATAAAATTTTTATCCATATAATTTCAAACTTGATAAACAAACTTTTGAAACTCTTGGTAATTGTTCTTCAGTCGTCATCTATCCATGACACACCAATCAACCCTCATGATTGACTTTATATACTATTAATAACTATCAACATCTCCTAGATGCTAATATAAAATAAAATTTTTTACAAATCGTTTTTAGGATATGTCAACTTTTGTTTTTCATTATATACCACAACTTTATCAAATTTCCAATGTTTTTGTAGATAGTTAAAAATTTACAAGGAAACGAATTATTGGAAATCTCCTATATTGTAATAAGAAACAAAGCAAACGATTTGGCATCCAAATACCTTGATATACCAAGAAAAAATCGTTGTATTATATTTCATATTGAGTTGTACAGTCCAAGATATTTAAACAATCTTTCGAATTTGGCAATGAAATCCAATTTTCTGGCAGTTTTATATCTATTCACTATTTGCATATAAAAAAAATAAAAAGTTTCCTCAATTGACCAGAAGCTAAGAATATCTTCAAAATTGTGAATTATCTAAATTGTGAGCGGCAAAAATCAAATATGTGAAGTAGGTGACCAAGTGTATTATTTAATTATCTTTACATTTGATCATGTATTCTCTATACATTGACAATTATTACGGGGAATGACCATTAATAGACTCCACCTGTTGTTACTTTATGTTAAAAAAGATCGTTGGTAGGAAACTAACAGCATTTGACTTGCATATGTTGAGAATATCACTAGATTTCATTTTGAGCCAGCACAAGATACAACTTATTACCAGTATATCAGATTCAACCGAGTACTCTGCGAAGGTACCCAAGGATTGTGTACGGAATGAGATAATACGGAGAAACCGCATAATTTTTGGCCCATGAGGATCTTCGGATATAGGGGAAAAAAATTCGCTTAGTGCACTTAGTGGGATTGCTATATATGAACGAGCTGACTTGGTGCTAAGAAAACAAACGGCTTGTGCTTCCAACCTTAGGATATCCAGCGTTAGCAAGTCATACTTTTCACTCCACATGTCCTACCTAAATTTTGAATATTGTTCACTACATTTCACTCCGTAGTGCCATCATTATCCGAAGGTACAGAGGTCAAATATTGGTGGTGTTTATGGCAATCACCAGGGTTGATTCCTAACCGGTTTTGATGCGCCTGTTAGATTATTTAATTTTTTGGTTAGATTGATAACCCCAATAACCGGTGGTTAAGGCTGAACCTAATAAAAAATATCAGAAAAAGCAAAAAATCCAAAAACAAATTATTGTCATAGAACGGTTGAGACCTGACTCAGGCTCTGGAACCATAGGAGCCATTGCTTGCCGGCGGCGCGGAGTCTGCAAGCCTTTAGTATAGTCTGAACTCTAGTATAACTCATGAAGATATACCTACACCATATTATATCACAACACTGCATCATACCACGTGATAATTGGGAAGTAGGAAAGAAAGCTTTCTAGGAAATAGAAACTTAAATGACATTCTTCATCATATCGCCATACAACCTCAAAACATATGAATCAAAGTTTTGCTACAAGCAAATGTTGGATAGTACTCAAAGCATGACTGCTTTTATATGATTCCAATATTGGCAGATCATTTGACTAGTCTCTGGGCTCAAATCAGCGTTTGTCTCCTACTCTATATCATTCTTGTTGAACTCCTCTAGAGTCGGCGCAAAGAGGTTTCAAAGCAAACACTGCTTTATTATCGTTCGATGGGGTGCTTGACCTATCCCGTATTCCAACCGATCTTCTGCATCGTATTCCTCCTCATGAATCTTGTTGAACCAGATTTCAAGAAGATTCGCCCACTGATTATCTGCCACCACCAAATCCGGAAGATCAGCAATGGTCTCGTCCAGCTGAGCGCTGGCAAATCCAGACGGAGTCCATTCGGTTTTGTTGTTCAACCTGGATGCTCCGATCTACTGGCTCGCGTGTGGCGTGGGAATAGACAGAGAACTTGTCGCTCCCGAGGCGGTTGGAAGATACAGGCGCTGGAACTGACGTTGGGATGCGTTCGTACCCCGTGGCTTTGCCTGCGCCGTCACTTCCTGGATTGCAACCCTGCTGCGCATTACTGCTTGGATCTGCGCAATTTTTACCGCTTTGGCCGAGTCGAGGCGGTTGCAACTCTTGGTCTGGATTAATCCCAATGCGGACCACAGCCTTTCAACTGAGCCCGCATGCACAGACATCCCAAAAAGCCGAAGTGCAACGGCAGCCAGTTGAGGCTTCGCGTCTTGCATCATTTCCCAAAAGCCCGTCGGGTCTTCTTCGCATGCGTAGGCATTGACCAAACTGAAGTCGTCTTTGTGGGTTTTATACTCCCCAAACTGCAAAGGCAATTAGAGTGATTCACAATCAGGAATTGCGTTCAGCGATCAGACAACAAGTCGACTCTAAAGCAAAAGATATCAGAGCAAACAGCAATCAGCAAGTGTCCAGCTAAGCTAGGTAGGCTATAAGATCCGCATGCTTGTATACACTTCCAAAACAATAATTTTATATGCATCTCCTTACCTGTCGAATCACAGCATTCTTGTCCTCAATGTTCCCGCCAAAGTACTCCATATACAAGTCGCCTGCCAACTAACACAGGTTGTGCGGCTGGGCAATCAACTCCATGCGGTTGATGTGATTGAGTTGCAACATAGGGTGGAGCACGTATGCGAGCATCATGATCGGTTGCAGCATCTTCAGCCATCGCTTCTGAAATATACGCAAAGGCCAAATGACTTCAAGAATTTTCAGAGTCCACAATTGTGGGTTAATTTTACTCCCACTAGACACGATTCATAAACTATTGCCCGACAATCCGCAAGTACATCAGCCAATGGTTATTGACAGTGGACAATGGACATAATCAGCTCATACCTAAGCAATAGGCTTTATGCTTCTTACCTCGAGGGTGCTTTCGAGCGCGTGTGATGCATCAACCTCAGGGATGTTTTGGAAGTTTTTGCTTAGCCGTGTCAGCGTTCGCACGACAATGTCGAGCCTAGTAGCGTACTACTCGAGCAATCTGCCCGCAACCTTCAGAGGCATAAGATGCATGCAAACCTACAATGCAAGATTTGAAGAGTCGGATGGGTTATTGAAATCTTGAATATAATGAATTTGTGAATGAATTGCAAAGAATGGAAACCTTTCAGTGCCAAAATATCATAATTTGAAGTGATAGTAGAAATATATGGAGAAAACATACCTGATTGAGCATCTTCCAGAAAGAGGGTTTTTCGATAATGTCAAGTACAACCTCATCCTTCCTCTTTGATGCCGCTGAATTTCCCACTAAAGCTACCAACTTGGCCTTCTGCTCGAGCACCAGCAACTTCATCGCCCGCTGCTCCTGTACAAATTGAATAATTGCTTTAAAACAACTTGCCACATGCAATCTAGAAATGAAATACAGCATCTTTGACTCATGACGCAACTTTCAAGAGCTGGCTGATTGGCAAGCTTAATGACTCCAACCATCAAATTGCCACTTGCTTTATTAATGTCTGACCTGCAGCTGTCTTCAAATGCTCTCCACGTGGGACTCCCACCGCGTGATGGTCGGAAGAATCAGCGCCATTGTCTTGCTCTCCACCAGTACAAGCTTCTCTTGAAGCCGGGCATTCGGCACAGTGTGACTGGTGAACCAGACAAGCAGCTGAAGCGTCTGCTTCATGACTTCCGGGTAGCGATTATTGGACTTGAGGTAATCACTCATCATCAGGTGGATCTAGTGGACTACGCAGTCCATGACAATCAGCCTTGGCATTTCAGCTGCTGCGATCCTGCGAGCTTTTTGACATGCAGCTACAGCGTCAGACACTCAGCCAATCATCTTTGCACCAAACTTCTCCTCCAACTCTGTTGCGGCCTTGAGGATTTTTGTGGCAAGAAGGTCGTCAGTTTCTCTATCCCTCGTCACACCAACAACGTACAAAGCAAAAACTCGCAAGAAAAGATAAATTACTTAGGCCAACCTACTTAATAACTAAATATCATCATGAGAAAAAGTTGAGCTCGAAAGAGGCAATCAATTGCTGAATGGCCTTTTGGTTACGAAACAGCTAAAATTATTAAATCAAAATGCAAGCAAACGTACAAACATTGCGATTAGCTATTGCCACCGTGAAACCCAGGAGTTGCTCACGCTTGACATTCGTCCAGGAGTCCTGAATGAGGGTAACGGCTGCAAGCAATGAAATAGACTCCTGCTTAGAAACTCACACGTTTCAAGACGCAATGCGACATATGGTTGTGTGAACAACTTGGCTTGCATGCCAACAATGTACCTAGTAAGTTTAACAAAGATAGATGTTCAAAATGTCATTATTGCATGTCTCTTTGAGTCCCGCAAATGAAAGTTTTCACCTACGCTCGTCTTGAGCTCCTTCTTCATATCAGTCTCTATAGTGAGCGCTTCTCTCTCCAAGATTGGTCCAGCCAAAGTCTTCCAAGCTGGCAACTTTGCTTTATTGCGCAGGAATGCGAACAAGGCTTTTGCTGAGGGCTTTTCCACCTAGTCAAAACCCTTTGCACACTGGACTGTGAATTCGAGGAGAAGCCTCTCAAACTCTCTACGCTGTGTTGCAGCGAGCGGCGCATCAGCAATGGGCACTGTGAAAAACCTGCTCTGTGTGCTCGCTCCTCCAGAGAACAATTCTAAAACCTGGCTGTTAACACCAGAATACCCATCAGAGATCTTGCGCTTGAATCCACTTTGCTTGGCATTTAGGTCTGATTTGTGAAAGTGGCATTTGCGGCGAATGTCACTTGGCACATTGCATCAGCTTGAGAGATGACGAACCATGTTCACTCTGTTCCATAAGCAATGATGGGCACTCTTGTCACCTTTCAAACCCTTTGCAGCGCACCTATTGCAAATCGCTTCGTAATGTGCAGTGTTGACTTTGTGGAGTGTTTTTGTAAAATGCTCCCAAATTCCTTGACTGGCATTGATGTTGGCAGGTGCTAGAGACTCATTTTGAGCTGCCGCCATCATGCTAGGCTAATATCCATCTACGCTGGACAGCTGTGTTGTAACTTGTGGAAAAACGGCGGCTAAACTATGAAAGAACAATGAACGAGACGCTCTGGCAAGCGGCAAGGGTCACCGAGTCAACTTGAAGATGGTCAGACTCGTGTTTTGGATTCCAATTCATCAACTGACCGTCAGATAAGGTTTGGAGCATCATCTAACAATCCATCCTGTTTCGAGGCTCACGCCAAATCCATCTGATTGTCCAAGAAACGCTTTTGTTTACAACCGTTCGATGACCTTTTGGACCTTTCACCGAAACAATTAATCTGGTCAGAGGTTCGGTTACGGGTTAATAACGGCGGTTAAACGGTTAAAGGATTAGGAGGCTAATCTGTTATGCCCAACCCTGGCAATCACAACCTAGCTTTTGCACAAGTACATGTGTTCATAATTCAATAGTGACGATAAGAATATGGTGAGGGAGCAAGTTGAGTTCGTTTTAGTCTGCTCTTAAGGAATTTGTGCATCAAAGCAGTTAACAGGATGCAAACTTAAATGAGAAATAGTCGAAGAAAAGAGAAAATTAAGATGAAAGAGTGTACTATGCATTACTAACTTGTCTCCTGCGGCTGTCTTGTTGAAATTTCAAGTGCAAGTGCGCAGGAATAAATATGCAAGTAGAACGAACAAGTGTTGTCACTTGATTCGTGTCACGACAGCAGAACGTTAACAATGCTGCAAGAGTATACAGTACAACGGTACATGTATGGTGGTCAAAAGTTAGTTGCCAGATAACTGACACAAGGGAAAACCTTAGTCGCAACAAATCCATGGCCCCCTGCGAGAATGATTACAAAGACGATTGTCTTTGACCGAAGAGATAATTATAGGTTTAGACATAAATCTCGACCTTTTAGATTCGAGCATGAAGCATCCAATAACAATGTTCGAATATTTATCTTTACTCAATTCAGCTATCACATTAACACCTATGTAGAGGTTGGTTATAGATGCCATATAAACATGTCCAGAATTGATGTCAATTAAGTGGTCATCTCGTTTATATTGCAAACATTTTTCATACAGTTGCTTCGGTTATTAGATTATGTCATTTGATATTTGTTGTTTTCTTGTCATGTAAAAGTACATTGGATAGTTTGAATCTATTGTTATCATGGAGAATTGGTGGTTTTACTACGTTATTACAACATTGTTCACAATTCTAACGACTTTAATTATTTCTTAATTCAGAATCGTCACCTTCGTATATTTTGAGATGGTCTTGTATGAATTAGAGTATACTTACATATCAGTATGTATAATATGATCTTGATATCTGCTGATAACAGTTCCTTTTGTAATATTTTTTAATTCTTTCAAATTCCTCTCTCTCTCTCTTATCAACATATTCTTTTATATGAAGAACATATTACTTCACAATCCACTACTCCTAGTAGTGAACAAGGAAATACTTTCTCATATAACTTGTTATTCATCATGATTTATTTGTATGATAGGTGAGATTGAGTTTTCAGATTCTTAGCAAATGATAAATATATCCTGTTACATGTGTCTCATATTACTCTCGTCAATACTTCGGTTCATCTTGCTAAAAACATGTGTCAAAATTTAGTTAATACTTTGTACAATATATCTTCAATTTCAGATTTTTAAGTGCTCTAACATATGAATCATACGATTAAAATACGTATGAGTGACAATTGTATTCAAGGAGTTTTTTCGACCCCCTTGTCCTTTCCATACAACGCAGTTGAATAAGATATGATTTTTCTTTATTTGCATAATTGAAAAACCTTTGATAAGATGGTTATGAGCATCTCTGTATACATAGGCGGATCAAGGATCTAAAAAAAATAACGTGCTCTCTGGATTTTAGCTATGATATTAGTTTGTTTTATGTGGTTTAAAAGTCTACTACATGTTTGATAAGCTAAAAGCTTTCAACATCCTTGTTATCTTCTCAACATGAGATTGCTAGTTGGTTAATGTCACGTGCAAAATTTTTTATTGCACCTACTAGTTATGTAATGTGATCTGTTTCAGAATAGTATGATGGAGAATTGATAGTTAGCTCATACTATCGTGATGTTTGCTAAGTAAAGTGAGGGTAATTACTTCACATAGAGGGATTGTAGTTAGTCTTGACTAAAGTTACGATAGACATACGATCGCTATAGAAATTCAATGATTGTCATACCAAATGTTCTTATGTATAATGATACGTAAAGAATTTTAAATGACAATAATCTAAAATATTGTTATATTAAATGAGTACATTGTAAAAGAGTGTTGGTATAGTGAATTAGGCTATTGAATAGCCTATTGTACTCATGATGTAAATGCATATCAACTTACATAATTATTGTAGAGACTTTTATATCAATGGATATTTTACAATATGATAGAGCACTATGATATTGCAATCAAATTATCACTGTGTCATTTCATATTCCTTTAGAGGTTTAAAAAGTGCTACTTAGATATAATAACAATACTTATGACAAACATACTATCCAGGTCTACTTACCATTACCATTTTAGTCCCGTGTTAATCTTATGGTTTAATCCAAGAAAAGATTACGGGAACTTCCTATCGTTCTGAGACTTTTTGTCTGGTAATCCTTTCGAGATGAGCTACTCTGCTGCACACTTTGAATTTCACAGGACACAATGAGTTACATCTTTTAGTTCTCCCCAAATTGAGATCGATCTACAATTCCAAGTCGCGCAGTGCTGTTGTTGAAATGCCACTGAATTGTCACATTGTTTACTAATGTACTCGAATGCGTACGTGTGTTAGCTCCTCGCATTCCCTCGTTAGAGCATTCATCATCCCTTGGCTCTTAAGCAGGGCCTGTATGATACAGGCCCTGCCTGAAGAGATACAGGCTGTATCTCTTCCCGATCTTCTTCTCGCGGCTATTTTCCCGATCAATTTCATCAGTGTACGGGTCTTCCGAACTTTTGGGCTTTTCATAAAGCCCCTCTTCTCTTTCAGACTTGTCGTATTTGTGACTGCGTTCCAGATCTCGGGGATTCGCTCTCACCTGCAGCAGTAGGTGAGAACAGAAGGCTTGCTATCCACGTGGCCCCTTTCAGACTCTGGTGAGAAGGAGCACACAGATTTCTGCTGCCGTGGCAGTCTGCTGGTTTCACTTTGTAGCCAGTGGAGTCGAGGCCGACGTCGGCGGAGCTCCATCTTCGAGCTTCGAGGTTTGGCTCAAGAATTTCGGGGCCGGACCACTCCATGGCAAGCCTCGGAATCCCGACAGCTCGGAATCCCGACAGCCCGGTCATGGTTTAGGGATGGTTTATCAGATAGAAGTCAATTTTATGGGGTCGCTTGTCTATTCTCCGAGTCTTCTACGACTGTGAAGTGAAGGATTGAGGTGATGTACAGAGCGTCTAGGTGGAGGCAGCGTTCAGAAATTCGGCGTGCGTGGAGAGTGGCACCGACTGTTCGAGCTTGGGTTGTCGATCCTTGCGTAAGTGAGTTTGGATTCCGAAGTATGGAGCCGGCAGATGAACGATATCGCTGGGTCACTCGAGTTTTTGAGGTGCTCGCCCTCGTGTCGGCTTGCTACGTCATATCCCATAGCAGATTGTGGTTGAGACTTCGTGAGGGTGGAAACCCCTTCACTGATCCGTACCAGTTCCCACCTGCAGAGTAGGGCGCTGGCGCTCTTGGAAAGTAATTCTGAAATCTCTGGATGCTTGCCGTTTCGGATATCACTCGGTTGATCGTGAAGAGACGAGCTCGTACAACATTTCGACCTAAAAGCGCATATGAACCCTTCGTCTGCGGAAAGCATTCGATCGGAGCACTGGATATGGTCCCAAGGCAGCTTCGTCTTGGACAAGTATCGCAAATCGCGGGAATACATTAGATGCTTCTCTAATTTTAAAGTGCTGTCGCCGGAGTTTTACTTGTGTTCTTAGAGGCAGGCTCGTGCAAATTTTATTCGACATTTTGGTTTCTAGGAAGAATTCTAACATTTGAGATAAACTGAATTCTTAACTAAAGACAGTTTATTGCTGCGTCGGAGATTAAATGCGAAGTGGGGATACTAAAGAGTGACATTGAAGGAGCGCATTTTACTATTGAGCTCCAAGGCTTGCGTCGATGTCCTTGCTAGACGAAGAAAACCGCTGCGTTATTGCTCACATGATAGATGACACAATTGTCCGCCTCTGTTTCGACCCATGCTAGCGTGGCTTTGCTCGTTGCCTTTCAGAGAAATAAACCACAACGTATGATGCCAACTAGTCTGTTTCAGAAATGTGGAAATTTGTAAATGTTGCCTTCATAAACTCGATGTGGTTGATATCTGTCTTCCATTCCGCTACTTCTGTGTGGTAATTTTTGTTTCAGGAGTTGCCTTTAACAAGAGGATATGAAGATTTTGCAAGTAAATTTAATCTGAGTGTCGGAAAAATCGAGAAGACTAGTGACAAAGCCACCTAGCCTTGTCACTAGTCTCCTAGCCTTGTCACTAGTCTTCTGAGAGAGCCTCTAGATTCCACGACTTATTTGGCTGTGGCATAATGATGGGAGCAAGCTTGGAGATCTTCAGTCATGTATTTGTGGCATCAGAACTATAACCCACGTATTGATGGACTTGCCGCGTGTGGCTGGTGTTTTCATTCGTTTAGAAATAAATTTCCTTATGTAGGTTCTTATGTAGGATAATGAATGCCTGACTAAATAGCTGTGCATAGTGCACTCGCAGATTCTGACACATTGATCAATTTAAGCAAAGAAGAAAGTGCAGTTCGGTTAGGGATGAGAAAGTGAGGTGCTACCCGATCGGCCAAGGAGGGTATTCATATTTAGTCTTCATGGTGTATAATCTATACACCATGATTTGTCTATAGCCAGAGTTTGCACAAGTATATTTTTACCTACAGCGTATACGAATGTTCATCGAATCTGTTGTTATTCATTTGCTGTTAATCATCAGAGTGTCAGGATAGTGTTGTCCAACGTCAACTTCCCTGGGGTTCATTTTCTTCGCATGATCTGAATCCCAAAAGCTGCTCGATTCGAAATCTGAATCACAGTTCCTAAAGAGTCTTTGTCTGACTCCACTCGAGCTCCTCCGACGCACATCTCAAGAATGTGTCGAAAGCGAAAGCAAAGACAAAGAAGTACAGAGAGTCAAAATATACTGCACTTTCTGGTCCTCCATGGTCTTCATGGAAGGTGTATTTTGGAATTTGTACTCAGTCAAGCTGATGTTCCAGTTCGTATAGATTGACGAAATTTTTTCTCACTAACAAAGATCTCGTTCTTCACCCCAAGTTCGCAGACAAGCATCTCGCCAAGGCATAACTTGACTCCGGCTTGCATGGTACTTGCACGGATCGTCTGACGTGATTGTTTGCTTCTGCTGCATACGGGTATGGAACGGGTTGCTGGGAGTTTCAAGAATTGAGCCTCCTCAATGCGACACACTTATCACACGCGACGAGGATCACCTTTTTAGATGTAATGGATGCTGCTTCAATTTTATATTTTACGGAAAATGCCGGTATATGCTTGAGACAATATGCTTAATGACGTTAATACATACAATATAATGCAATGAAATGGAGTGAAGATGTCTAGCTCAAAATAGATACGGTGAGATCATCGAAGTGATCTGATCCAAGATAAAACAATTCTAAAAGGTTTTGGAATGAAAACACTAAAAGAGCATCTGATCAAAATATTTTTGAAATTCAGCTGTGAACATTGCATTAGATTACTATTACATTGCATACTTGTTCGCGCTGATAGAGTATTTTCATATTCTCTTGTTATCACTTCTCTTCCATTTGAGCAGTTACAAGTCAAAAAGATCTTGCCCAGTGATATTCTCTTTGAAATCATTCATATATCTATATCTACTTACTGATTCATACATGAAGTTGTGTATAACTTCATGGACCTGGAACAACTCACAAAGAACTTTCTTGCTAAGAAAAACCATTAGCATGATCCGCAAATTATCATTAAAAAACATTAAAGGTATATTGCCGAGGTTTGGTGGAATATTTATTTTGTACGAAGATGATAATTTAAGATGTGTGAAGAGACACATGTCAGTAGTTGACCATACACAGCTGATACAAAGTGATCCATCAAGATCCATGGGGAAAACAAAGTGCTAGCATACTTGTTGTAGTGTTCTTCACGACTTTATTCAAAGAGCTAAATCACGGAAATCTATGAGTGGTAACTGACGGCAGAGTTTCGGCTTGGATCTCACTTCCAAAGCAACAGATCCATAACTCCAAAGAATTGGAATTACAGCCATCTTGGTCACATCAAAGTTTGTAGGTTGTCGACTCTGCTCGAGTTGCACCTTTGCTTCCTTTCGACGTATATTTTCACACTTTCAACTGCAACTATAAGTAAACTACTTCTACTTATCAATTTTGGTATGAAACACTTGTTTATAGTTTTGGTAGTTTAACCAGACACAAACCTTATCGCCCGCATAACCATATTGACTATACTCTTATTTGCAATTATAAACTGCCAGATTGATTAGGAAGAGAGGACTTTAGTGTCAAGCGAGAAATTAGTGTGGATACATCGAATAGTGCCGGCTTGAATTTTAAATGAATCTAAAACATATTAGCGCGCAGAAAAAACGAGGAATTAAGAGATTATGTGGAGAGCTGCAGCGATGAATAATGATAATTAACTCAGATGTGAACTAATTTGAGTTCAATCGAATACATAATATTATCACCAATCAATTATATAGTAATTCATCTTTGATTCATGAAATATCAGATTTTTGACAAGTTATGACATACAGCTCCGTTAATTCTCCAAGACCTACTGCAAACTAATATTGGGTTTCGAATTCTTGTGATCTTATATTCAGATACCCTAACCCTCAATCATCGCGGCTTTTTAAATACTCTTTATCTGAAGAATAAAATTTACGCATACTCTGATTAGGTTACCTTGGTTAACTTACCACGCTGGGGTTAATGTCTAACCTTTGTGTAGCGTGTTCTTCCAACTTTGTAAATTAAACCCTAAACCCCCGAGCCTGTGTCAGGGATGCAGTCAAGGCCTCTCTGAAATCAGAGAACATGTCGTTGCTATGTTTTTTCGATTTCGCTCGGATTACGCTCGGATCACGTCCCGAAATTGTCAGTGAAGTAGACATCAGATAATTCATATGCTCCATTTGCGGACATTGCGGGGCTTGGGCGCAGAGCAGTACGGGACGTCTGTGTGATAGAGATTCGTGAGAAGGGTTCAGTTTTCCTGTCACATGGTTCGTCTAGAGGTGCGCGAGCAATTTTGCCCTGAAGATTAAAATTCTTGCCTGCTGTTAAGGGGCAACGATGTTTCAGGTGGAGCGCTGGCTGGGAGGAGAAAGTCGGAAGCATGGTTCTCCATTATTATTAGATCGTTTGAATGCCAGAGCTCGGGAGCGGGCTGCTTTGCTCAGTAGAGAGAAAGCGGAAGGTTCTTCTCCAGGTAACAGGGAGAAAGTCTCGAACAAGGATTCTGATCCTGCACTGAGTAGAGATGAAAGCAAGGAGGAAGTCTCGGAGGTTGTGGTTGAGGAAGAATTTAATGCAGTGAGCGAAACTGTACCTCATACTAGGCGAAAAAAGCGAAAGCAACACCAGGAACACAAGGCAGAATTGGCAACCTTGATTGACCAGGAAGCTCCTGATTCTGCTGTAAAGGTCAAAAAGCACAAGAAGCTGAAAGTCTCGGATACGACTGAAGAACATGTGTTTCCTCTGGAAGCTCCTGCTTCTCCTGGAACGGAAGAACAGGAAAGGAAGGTGAACGATACTTTAACAAGTGAAGATAATACAGAGCGAGCGAAAGAGAATTCTGCAGCCGACATCGACAGAAGTGTCCCGGAGCTGGTTGAATTTCAAGTGTCCAAATTGGAGAAGAAACGAAAGAAAGAAAAGAGGTTGAAGATACGAAGAGGGGGCAATTTGGAACCAGGTGATGAACTAGTTAACGCAAGAGGCGTATCTGGAGAAGTAAGTCATTTTTGCACAGTCTCAGTATCTTTATTCATTCATATCCTCAACCGGTGATCGAGAAAGAGATGCATAATTTCACAATTTGTCTGAAAAGGTGGATGTGATTGCAGATGGTGGTCCTTCGGAACAGATCAATGAAGAGGAGCCTGACAGTAAGTCCCTAGGGGTTCCAGATGAGGATGAGGAGCATGTAATTACAGAGAACACTGACGAGTTGAACGCACTCGGAGCGGACGATACTTCTCGGATTGAACCTGATTTTTCCACAATTGAGAGGGATGTGGATAGAATCATGGGTCGTGATGTTAATTTGGTTCCAGCAGAGTCGCAAGACCACGGGCCGGTGTTGCCATGGATGCGTGATCCGCTTGATATTGATACCTACAAGGCCACCTCCCTGAGAGAAGTGCCTGGCTTGGACACCAGGTAGCCTTGCCGTCCGTCCGTTTGTAATGAACTTTTATCTGCCCAGCACTTGAAGTTTGTCTCGATGTCCAGCCGATGATTCTTGGTTCGTTTCGAGTTACATTGCAGACTTCAAGATGCGCTTTCGAAGGCAGGAATACAGTCGTTGTTTCCGGTACAGATGGCCGTGTGGCACGAGACTGTGGGCCCTGGTTTAAGCGAGCGAGACGTCTGTGTCAGCTCACCAACAGGCAGTGGCAAAACACTATCTTACGCATTACCCATCGTTCAAAAGTTATCGTCTCGGGTGCTTCGTCTTCTTCGAGTTCTTGTAGTGCTCCCGACCAGGGATCTAGCTGCGCAGGTGAGGTTCTTTGGAAATGTAGTTTGGATGGTCTTTAGGTAGAGAATCTCTCCTCTTTCGGGTCTATGTTTACTATTTTATTGTGCAACGATGAGATAGAAAGGAGATCCATGCTGATGTATCAAAGTTTGGAATTCCTTGTTCACGTGCTGCAAAGATTCTGCCCACCTTCTGTATAGGACATTTCAAGATCGTGAAAACCAGGGAGTTAGCCTACTTTAATCGATGGCTTTTATTGTTATGTAACCTCTAGTACCCATATTTGGCTGGCTTTCCAGTTCCTATATATCCGCTCAAGCTTCTCTTAAGGCCTTCAACCTTGGTAATCTCGTTTCTTCAGGTTAAAGCAGTTTTTGACACCATCGCACCAGCAGTTGGTCTCTCAGTGGGACTAGCTGTGGGACAGACGTCCATTGTAGCTGAAGCGGCTGAATTGGTTCAGATTCGTAAGTCGATGGTCCACAGTTTTGGAAAATCTGAGGCTGCAACTCCCGACCTTGCCGAAAGCCAGGTTGACATACTTGTTGCAACTCCAGGGCGCTTGATGGACCATATTCGAAATACGAAAGGGTTCACTCTTCAGCACCTACAATTTCTCGTGAGTTTTTTCCGTGTTGATACTATTGTCTTTGTTTTTCTACAGCGTCATCTTTCTACAAAGGCCGTGATGAGGCCTATGTAGATTCTCTATATTGTTTTAATTGATCAATTCGAAAGATATTTCACAGAGGTTAACGAACTATTGGTTTGTCTGTCAGGTTGTTGATGAAACAGATAGATTGCTACGGCAATCTTACCAGGAGTGGCTGCCAAATGTCTTGGCGTGTGCTTCTGCTTCTGGCCCGATGTTGTCTGGACTAGCGTTTCGAAACTCTCATCCTGGCTCAGTCCGCACCATTAGAAATTGGTACGGAATGTCCTGATAATATTCACATGGCTTGATCCTCTCGTTTGCTTATTTTTGTTGCTTCTGTCCATTTCATATCTATTTTCAGAATATTAAAACCATCGTAATACGTTGCTGACTCCCTGAGGCAAAAGGTGGACGGAACTACATGAATAATGAGCTTCACTGTAGAAAAAGCTGGGCATTAAGTTTTTAGCGATTACGTGCAGCTGTCTTGAAAGAGGAAATAGAGGCACTGCACTCCCACGATTGATGAAGATGGTGTTATCGGCTACCTTGACGAGAGATCCAGCAAAAATTGCACAACTTGGTCTTTTCTGCCCCATATATGTGGCGCCTGGAGCTGCCGGCAACCGGTATCAACTACCAGAACAACTTAAGTCTTACAGGATGGTACGTATCTCTGTTCACACACGTTGCCTTCATAACTTGTTGCTGACTCAATTTAGTTCACGTAGCCTTGGAGCTTGTGTTTGTTCAAACCTGCATCGCATGATCCGTAACAGAAATTGTTGTCCTGAACATCTTTGCAGGTCTGCAAACCGGGAGAGAAGCCCTTATATTTGGTAGCACTCTTGCAACAGCTTTGCAGCCAAACAACCATTGTTTTCACCGCTTCTGTAATGGCTACTCATCGACTGTATACTCTGCTAAAATGCTACAAAGGATTGTCGTTCAAGGTGGTTGAGTACTCAAGCTTGCAGCATCAACAAGCCCGCAGGTTTGTTCAACACGTGTGTGATTTTGATGGGTTTTGTAGACCAAATAACTAATAAGTATATATTTGTACATACAGACCTCAAGAACGCAGGTTATTTCCTCTTTCTTCTGATTTATTGAGCTTGGGGTGAATATCCAAGTCGGTTTCGTTCGTTTGTTATCCGACATTCGTAGCTGGCTTCAGTAATCCTAATGACTTGCCTCTATATTATGCTTTACAGTAAAGCGTTGGCAAAATTCCGGAATGGCCAGGCACAAGTGCTCATTGCCTCAGATGCGATGACAAGGGGTATGGATGTGGAAGGTGTTGCAAACGTTGTCAATTATGATATGCCGGTGTACGCAAAGACCTACGTCCATCGTGTTGGGCGCACTGCTCGAGCCGGACAGCCCGGGAGCTCTTATACTCTTCTTCGGAAGGAGGAGGTTCGCTTTCTGAACATGCATAAATCACGAAGTAGTTTGATCTGCATTCCATGTAACAAGTTCAATAGCGCTGTATCCGCTTCCTCCCATGTTGCTCTGGCTTATTCAGCGCAGATCATCGTCTTGTTGTCTTTGTTTTTGTCGGGTGTGCATAACGGCCTGCAGTCATCTAACCCGCCATGTGCGTTGATCTGTAACCTGGGGATGTTTGCGCAGGTACGACACTTCAAACAGATGTTGAAGAAAGTCGACAATAGCAAGTGCAAGGATTATTCACTGCCGTCATCTGTCACCGAAGAGCTTTATGAGTCTTACACTGAAGGTACGCGTCTCACACAGGGTGTGGTTTTCTTTCTGGGCTGAAAGCAGCTGTCTAGATAACCACCTTTGTCTGATATTGTACTCAATCGTAAAGCTGCTTCGGACCAATGCAATGGGATGTGATGTTCTCAGAACTTTCGAACCTAAGCTGTCTTTGCTTTGTTTTGGTTTTCGGTACTTCTCTAGCTTCACACAATTACCTTACAGTGGGAATGTTGCATTGTGCTGGACGTGCAGCTCTGGAGAAACTGAAGCAGATAACAGCAGACGAGGCAGCATCAATTTCACATGGCAGTCGGACGCAGACAGAAGGGGAAAATAAAGTTACTGGGCCGGACGAGCTTTTCATATGACCACGAGATATCACTCAGCGTTTGGAGTACGATGATCTACTTATCCCTAACTTCTGTCTAATTGGAGAAACACAGTGTGAACAATACGAAGAGCTGGTTGGTGATCGGATTCATATCAGTACTTTCAGTGTGCAATCCTAGTCCAGGATTAGAATAATTCGGTTGCGTCTCCACTGCAATTCACCTGTGAGTCGAGTAGCTGGGTTCCTGAGGAAGGTTCCGGGAGGTTCCCCTTCATGTATTCTTCTAGTTCGCAGCTTAGGCCCGAACGACCGCATGTAGGAGACAATTGCCATCCTCACTTTGGTTGGCGGCGTCTGTTTGTGATGTCAGCTGCGCCAGATTTCTTCAGTAAAGTTTACGTTGATGGTGAAGATTATTTCCCATAGTTCCGATTGTAAGGAGGAGTTTCTCTGAGTTCTCTGTTACATACTTTGTTGTCTTGTACAACTTTTACATGAGACGAGATAAGCTCAGTGCACTTCCAGGCAGTAGAGAGAGGCTAGTTCTTGTCTGGCATCTACATGGGATTCCTGTATTATCGTCTCAGGATCTTGGATATATATCTTAGACCTGAGGCTTGTCGAGATATGACAGGTAACAGGTTGTCGAGGTCGACGAAAACAATTTTGCAGATGACTGACATACAGATACTCCTCAGATCCACAACGCGACGAAGCAATGTCCTCAGTCACATCACTACGATCTGTCCGCAGTAATACACAGATTGCCTCACCATTGTCTACGTTGTCGCGGTCCACGTAGCCCACATAGGGCTACTCTTGAGCTTTACGAAATAAATTAGCCAATTTGATGGACTTCAATCAAGACCATTACGATAAACTAGTTACTCAAGCTGTGCGGAAATGGTTTCTACCAAGACTAGTTACGATTCACGGTCGCGTAAAGTATAATTTCGAGGTGATTCAATACTTCCAATTCTGTGAGTTGCGACTAAACGAGAAAGTTTAAGAAGGCAAACAATTGGAAGTCTCTCTGTCAATTGTCGCCGTCAAGCAGAACTTTGGGGGAGCTATGGGATACCCGGCCTAAGCCTCGCTCTCATACGTTGCTCCAAATTGGAAAGGATATGGCCGAGCTGTCGCAGAGGAACAAGACAGGGCACATCGTGTGCCATCAGCAGGAGACGGACCAATCGATCGCTGGTAGCGAGTGCACGCGTGTGTCCGAAACACGACCAGTTGCCGATCTCGCGCCCTCCACGAAGAGGGCACGACACGAGCGAGCATCAGGGTAAAACACGAGGGCGCAGTCCACTGTCGACAAGCGACGGTGGGCATTCGTACCTCGTCCCCAGGTGTCACAAGGGCTGGAGCACATTGGAGCCGAGCGAGGATCAGCGACCTCCTCCGCGAAGGATACTTGGGTCCCCAGCGACCCTCCACGTCGCCCTCGTCCCCAGGCTGCCAACTATAGTCGGAGACGGTGGCGAATGCGGGCTCCGAGTTTCGGGAGGATGACGGGAGGGAGCTTTTTATCCACACACCAACGAGCAAAACAAGAGAATTTTCGAACGCAGTCGTCGTCGAGCATCCGTGCCTGGCCTGGCCTAGCTTCCTGAGGCGCTTCTGCGACGTGATTCGATTGGCCGTGGCTCGAGAGATTCGCTGCGTCCGGAAGTCGAATGAGAATGAGTAGTTTTCGAATGTCACGACCAATGCTCACAGTATTCGGCCTCCCCCTTCTTGATTCGACCTGATCTGCGGGATCCTGTACAGTTCAATTGACTGTTTCATAATTTTGACCTCCGAGGCGCAGTGTGAGACTTCTCGTCGAGCTTTTGTTCCATAAGATTCTGTAACGATATAGCGTGTAAAGGAGGAAGACTTTTTTTTGGGAGGGCGAGATCGAGGTGCTCATCACCAGCTTGGAGGCAGACGGTGGATTCAATCACGGAGCGAAGCATTTGGAGAAATAGTGGTGGAAATTAACGATGGCTGCCTCTCTCGTAGGCAGCAGCAGCAGCTGCTGCGGTGCGGCGTTCGCTTCACGTCGTACATGGTCCTCGAAAGCAGTTCCCGTTTCAGGCATAGCATCCTGCTCGTTTTCCACCGTTCGCCTTACCCATGGCTCTCCTGCATTACGCGTGCCTTCATCACATGAACCTGTACAGCTGAACACCTCTCGCTCTGGAGGTTCCGTCCAGGCGAATTCGTCACGGAATGGTGCTTCCAACGCCGTGAGCAGTATCTCAATCGCAGAAAGTGAATTGAAAGAGGCCGTGGAGGTGCCAGCACAGAAGGCAGCGGAGGAAGAAGAGAATCCAGCCGAGGAGCTCACGGAGGCCCCTTCGTGTCCGCTCCCCGATTTCTCCACGAGCGGGACGCATGTTGCTCTGTTGAATCCTCTCGGATTGCTCCCAGAGTCCATACGGGATGCGAACGAATTTCGCAGGCCTTTGCTGCTTTACGTCCCAGGGATGGATTGCTCTGGGCAGGGAATTAAATCCCAATTGAGTCCACTCTTCGAAGCAGGGTTCGTTCGCTAAACATAGCCTCTATGTTCTCACTTATGTTTTGAGGAGGTAGAATCTGGTTGAATTCCTGCAGACATTATTCATCTCGGGTCCCGTGGCCAAGTAAAGATAGATTACTCTGAGCTGTTGGGACGAGGTTGAAGATTTACCAATACGACCTTCATTTCAGTGACTCCAGACAGCTTCCAACTTTTTTGTGGCTTGTTGTAAATGAAAGAATTTTTATTTCTGTAAATGCATGCGCGAACATGCCAGGTTATGGAGTTAGTTCAGGTTGTTCTTCTCGGAGGAGCTCTAGGAGATAAATGTTGCCTGCCAGCTAATTTCGTGAAATTTAGTTCACCTCAACCTGCAACTTGAGGTTTAATACGTACTTGTAAAGGTGGGGACCTGAGGTTAGTGCTTGTGAGAACCTAGGGCCGTCTAGTCTAAAAATCGGATTAGCCAGGACGATGTTGGAAAATTTGCATCACCCAAATGTTTGACAAATGTTGGTCCACTTTGTATGTCGTGAAGGTAAATAGCATAGCTCTAAACAAGAATTATGATGTAACTTTACTAGCTAGTTTCCTTTGACCTACTTAATTCAAAAGTATGCTAATAGACGGAGACAAAGACCCCTGCTACATAATGATGTTAACATCTCTGACAAGATGGTTGATAAGTGGAAGAACATGAGATTTATCTTGAAGTACTTTATCTCGCTTGTAACAAGAAAGGCGATCATTAGCGCAGAATGTGACGTATCCATGTGTGATATTGGTACTGAAGACTTCCTGTACGGACGCGCTGCGAAGAGATAACCTTATGAACAAACACCTTGAAGTTGAGTTGCTAAATAATCTTGATGATTGTGCAGATATGACATTCGATGTGTATATATACCAAGTAATGATAGGTCAACATGGCAACAACTAGTGGACACAATTCTTCCCTTGGTCAATGAAGAGGTTCAAGGTGTAAATGGAGAAAGACGGCATCTTACAATACTAGGGGAGTCTTTTGGTGGTTGTCTAGCCTTGCGATTAGCTCAGGCTGATCCATCTCTTGTATCACGTCTAGTACTGGTAAGCTGGCTTCATCCCACTTGGTCAAGCCTTTGATTTGATAACATCTGTCTGAAGACCTTCGAAGATTTGTGGTTCACTAGTGTGTGTAATTGGAGCTCTAATGTTTTTAAGTTTGTTATTTACGACGAGACACGTCATAATCAGAGCTTTCCTCATATCATTCGCTTCTCTGTGGGCCTGAGCTGCCAGCTTTTGATTATTGCTGCAATCCTCCAACGCATTTCTGTTTTGCAGCAGTACATAGCCAGTCTGGTTACAACGTAGTGCTCCTATCTGCTGCAGCGTGTATTAAGCTTTGTGCTTAGGAGGAAGTCCATGTTGTATCACTGGAATTTTTGTTGCTGCTAAAATGTGCGAACTTGATCACACTTTCTGCAAGCCTGTGGATCATACTGATAGTGTAGAGGCAATCTTTTAAAGTTATAATCTTGCGCTCGATGTTAATAGTCTGAGATGTCGTAAGTTCAGGTCCTCATTTCAATTTGGTTCGAGTATATAGAAAATGTTGCGTCATCCTCTGCTTCAGCCCATTAACCTTAATTGTCCAAACTGCTGTCTGTTTTAATATGGTTATACTGGAGGATTAACTTGGGCTCGGTCCAGGTGAACCCAGCAACAAATTTCCCAAACAACAATTTAGTAGGAAGTCTTTGTGCACAGACGGGGCTGCTCGCCCTTTTCCCGGAATCGCTCTACGAACTTGCCCAGGTTAGTTTCCTCTCCACGTAGTGATTACGATGAGGTCTTGTGAAGTAAATCTATTTTTAATTATAATTATTTCCTCTCTTCTTCGTAGTTTCATTTCTGGGTGCACTGTTACTGTAGCAGTCAATTATATGGAAACTCCGTTTTGGATAAGCATCCCTTACGTAATAGCTTCACCCGTGTTCTGGCTAGATCATCAGTCATGCAGTCAGCTAATCTCAAGAAAGTGATGTCTTTTGCGAATATCAGGACATATTATTGCCGTTGATGGTCAAGCGCAATCGAGTATCAACAGCGGGCACAGAGGATTTTCTTTCTCCAGTGGACTTTGTACCAGCCGCATGTGCTGCTTGGCGACTAGCCATGCTTAACGACGATTCTGGGCTCAGTGATGATGAACTTCGTGTTGTTTCGATGCCAACTCTTCTGGTGGGTAAATCTTGTCCTCCTGCAAGCATTTCAGTCCTGTACATAGCCGAACTCCAGCTGTACTTTGAAAGAAAATTGCCCTAACGAGGTTAAGACTAAAATTTCAGAGTCCTCAAGAAAGAGTGTTGTAAAAGGTTATGAAGAGCTTGTCATTTAGAAGTCTTCTGATCTGCCTTCATGTTTTACCGTTTTTGTAATGGTATATTTTTGGTTATGCTTCTATATTGTTATCAGTCTATCCTTTTGCCGTCTATATTTTCAAGAGGAATGACCAGTGTTTTCTATCGTTGTCTTCATATGAGCTGATTTGGACAATGTTCCATCCCATACTTTCTCCTGTCTTAAATTGCTGCGCAGTTAACTTCCGCAAAAGATAGGATCTTGTCGTCCTTGACCGAAGGTGCACGGCTTCAACGGGTATTGCCCAATGCTAAGCGAGTTGTCTTACCCGAAAGGTTTCCACTTCTGGCCCGCAGAGTAATGGAAGATGTAGTTTTGGTATTTACCTAGCCGTTATGTGCTCCTGAGGAGCTAGTCTCTACTCTAGCCCTCTCACCAGCGGTCACAATTTATTCACAATGCTTTCACGTTTTAATTTTTAAGTTTCTAGCCTGGACGTTAACTGCTGGACGCTATCTGCGCATCTTGTAGTGGGCATACAGCTCTAATTGAAGACAGTATAAATCTAGCAGAGGTCATGCTTGCAAATGGATTCACGCACCCTCGTCGATCAAAGGCAAAACATCAAGGTTCGTCATCGATATCCTCTCCAAGCCCGGTTGCAAAGAGAGAAGAAGCTGTTGCAGATGACGTCATGGATGAAATGGGGCGTATTCTAGAACCATGGAGGGTAAGACTGGTTTCCTTCATGATCCCATTACTCCATGTGCTTGAAGGTTCTTCGCAGTCCTCTCGTGTTTAGCTCTAGCCCTAAACGTCATTCGGTGCACGTATCAACTGTGACGTGAGATGAGTAAATGTTCTCTTCCTATAAATTTAGTGTGCCCTGTATGTGCAGATCCTCACTTCACCTTACATAAGTGGCGCAGAGAACTTACCTATGCCAGGCCGTGAGGTGGGCCTCTTGATTCATGTTGCGAGTAGTTTTCAAGCTTTTTGCTGTCATTCATTCTCTCCATCTATATAGAAAAGTATCTGAACGTGTTTGGATCACTTTCAGAACTGCTTTTGCCAAACTAGGACAGGCAAATACTTATTAGAACTGTTTGAACCATTAGACGATCATTGAAGTAAAATGTCGTTTTTCAAAGGCTGTTTTTAATCCTCAAACATCTTTCTGCAAGAAGAATTTCCTGTTGTCTTCAACTTAAAAGCAGATGGTTCCCGGTTTATGTCACTGTTGTTTTAGTCTCTGCCTACTCATCTCACCAGACTTTTAAGGATGCTGAACTTTGATTAAATCTCTGTCGTAGAGTTATGACAGGATTGTATGTTTTGAAACATGGATATCATGATGTGCTGACGGTGCTATTGTCATATTGCTGATATCAAGTTGTTTCAACATTCATAGGCCACATAGCATCTGCAACCACAGATTCTTGGGTTATACAAATCTAAAGTCACCTTTGAATTGGAAAATAGAACTAAAAGCATTCGTGTGCTTGTGCTGCAAAAGTATGTGACGGATCGATTTCACATTGTCTGGCATAAACAGCCCAGGCGACCATTGCTTTTCGTCGGAAATCATACCATGTTTGGCGTCTACGATTCTCCGCTCCTAGTGTACGAGGTAACCTAGAAGAATGTTTCACTATGCAAAATGAAAGTGCTATTTATTATGGTTTACTCATTTCGCTGAATAAGTTCAGCAAGAGTGCCTACGTAGCTTTGTGCAACCTACTTGTCAAAATGGGGATTCTTTGCATATGCAGCTCTATTTAAGAGGATTTCGATGCCGAGGATTGGCTCATCCAGGACATTGGATCACAGGCGCGGGTGCCATTTTTGAGAGGTATTCCTGCATTAGTACGTCAAAGAGATAAAAGTTACATTTATTGGTTGTTGTCAGTGACATCAGGCTAGACGGTCTTTTCATTAAGTCGTATTACGATATATTTTGTCGACTGGTTGGAGCTGTCTACTTACTTTTAGACTGCTTTCAAGAATTGTAGTATGTGAAGGGCAACGTTCGTTCAAGATGTTGTATCGAGATGAGATGTATTGTTGTTCTCAATGTTGAAAATTGCTCTTTAATAGGTATGGAAATGTGAAGGCTTCAAAGTTCGCTGCCTACAAGCTCCTGAAGGTTTGTCAGCATTCTTTATTGAAATGAGGCTGTGTTATAAAAATCCGTCGGAGTAGTTCATATTTCCAATATCACGGGAGTTGAAGGGCGAGGACATGATTGGTTCGTTGTTTCGAAACAGGAAGGGGAAAATGTGCTGTTATTTCCAGGAGGTGCCAGAGAAGTGTGCAAGCGAAAAGTAAGTTTAATTTCTACTTCGTTGTGACAAATATATGCTTTTGAAGTATAGAACGGTTCCTGGCAAAAACTATCGGAAATTGGAGGAAAAGCGCGCAAAGTGTTTTTACAGTAGTGAGTTATATGGCATGTACCATCATCTATTTAGGTACTGCTAAATAGATGATCTAAACTACGTCGGCTTTCGATTTGAAGGCAAGTAACATTGTGTTCAGTGGTTTAAGAACAGTGAGGCATTCTGTGCAGGGAGAGCAATACAAGCTGCTTTGGAAGCCTACAACCGATTTTGTGCGCATGGCAAGTCGACTTAACGCAATCATCGTTCCTTTTGGTGCCCTTGGCGCTGATGAAGCGTAAGCAATCAACTATGATATGATTCTACCTCGTTCCAAATTACGTTTTTAGAAGCATTTCCAGACTGCAGGCCAGTAGCTTCATTAATTCTAGTGCTCTTTCAGGAGGTCAATATTTTGCTACACTCTTGTGTATGCAGGTATAATATCATGTACGATGTGGACGACCTTAAGGCTTCTCCGTATTGGTCTCTGATTGAGGCCGTTTACAATCGAGTAGGCGTTGATCCTGAGAACGTTTATCCCATAACGTCACTTCCTGGAACAAACATACCTAGGTACACATCCAATTTGAACCGTCTTCATGGTGCAGAGTCGACTATTATCAGATGCAATACCCAATATACAATGATTTCAAATGGTCTTTCGAGTATATTTTCTTCTTGATAGGGTTCAGGCTATGACTGGCAAGTGCCAAAGAATACAGCATTCTGAAGAGTGGTCCATATATGTTAGCTTTTGAGCTAATTGTGGATTTGTTGAAAGTGCAGAGATCATTCTTCGATGTTACAGTAAGATGTGAGATGCTTTTTACGTATGACTACGCGCATTTATATTGACAATTGCCATTATTGTATGTGTCAGTTTGGTTCCTGTGCCTTCCATTGAGCGCATTTACTTTCACTTTTCTGAGCCAATAGACACTGCCAGCTATGCCTGCAATCTTGACGATCGAACACAGGTGAGAGTTCCCTCATATTCTCATCGACTGAAAATTGAAGTCATTGGTCACAAGTATTGAGTACGTAAATGTCTGTATTGTCCAAGCAGAAGTTGATTTGTGGAGAATAGATGTAGGCGATTATGTCCTAGTTAGCTTTCTCGTCTGGAGGAGTGTACGGTCTGGTTCCAATGTACTTTCAACCTGGTGTTATGATAGCTTGCTGAACTACATATTAACCTTTTGGTTGTTTGTTTGTATACAAAACACCTCAACATCTCTGCAGTGCCAGTCTTTATACAGTAAGAGGCTAACCCATCTCTAAATATCCTGCAGTGAAGTTCCTTTTCATGAACAGTTTTTGTTTCTCAAATATCTGTGCGTTTTGTAAATGATTTACCAGACGGTTCTGGTTGCCTCTGTAAGAATCATATTTTTGTTGCAGTCAGGAGTTGGCGTAGAAAAGATGAGCAATTTCGCATTACTTGAGCATTATGGCATTAAAACCTATGTTTGCACGCTGATCTGCTACAGTGTCCGTCAAGGCGCGAGTAGAAGAAAGCATTGAGCTCCTAAAAGATATTCGTTCCACCGATCCGGTTAGTTTTTGAACCAGGGCTTATACTTTCAAAATATCTGAATCACAGGGTCTGTTTTTTCTTGCTTTGTGTAGATGAGGTCCAAGATAATTTTAGTCTACTTTCTGTTGGACATGTATTGAAGAAGTTTTTGCACTAAGTGTTCAACATATTTCTTGTTGTAATTTATGATGTCAACAGGAAAGGTTATTGCCTGTTCGTTTGGCAGCGAAGCTTGGACGACTGCTGCCAGAATTTATCCCAAGGATGCCTTCAAGTCAAAATGGACTGCGGCAGTTGAGAAAAGATTTTGAAAATGCAATGAAAGACGAAAGAGCATAATAGTTTCACATCACTGGCTGTAACCGAACTCGTTGCCTCGAAATGATTCACCTTCCTCAGACATTCATTCGCAAGGGCTAGGAAAGAGTTTTTCCGAAGATTGAAAGTTTTGCAAACATGCAGTATGCTTTGCTGTAAAAGGTGAGATCGTGAACGTCTTGTCCCTGACGCTCACTAGGGGAAGTTGAGCTGACGAGTTGTACCTCAAAGATTACTGGTATTCAAGAAAGTGCCTTTTCCTCACGGTCAGTAAAACATACATAGTTCAACACACATGTTTCAATTGGATGGATATTTCGAACTATGAAATTCAACCTCAATTTTTTTTTATGTTTCTACACTTGAACTGGCAAAAATAGTCTCATCACGCTCTACACTATCCATTGATGATTTTAATCTTTTATGTATAGACAAGGTTACTGAATGTTTCACACTTGTATAAAACATTCACACAAATTGTACATCATGACATTAGAAAGTACCAGAGCCCAACATTGGGTGCCCATGCCCAAACCCACCCATGCCCATGGTTTTTGGGCGACATTGTTTTTCCATCGGTGGGCATGGGTAGGCACAAGCAATGCTAAGGGCAGTATTTGCCAAGTTTCAAGCAAGAATTGGCGTAATCTGCATAGCATGGGTAGGCAGAGGTAATGCTATAAGCGGGCATAGGTGGGCTTAGGTCGCTGCTGATGTTTGCAAGGCCATTCAGCTGTGATATCTCTGTTAAGAATGAAGTCAATCTCGGATGACTCATCGGTCATAAAGAGTTTGGAAACTTGCTCCACCTATGCTAGTTCTGAAAGAGCTTTTTGCAACTTGCTTGATGCAAACAACAGACTTTGTTGCGTATAAGCTATTGGAACCAGATCAGATAAGTCACTAAAGCCAATAGGCATGAAGTGTCCTGCAAATGATTTGAGTCGAGAAAAATTCAACCTTTTGTATGAGAAACTACACAATTGTATGAGCAGGTCTTGTTAGCAATAGCATCATAACAAATCAGTTTGTGAACATATCGAAATGGGGTAGATTACTGCATGGAGGTTTCGTAATGGATCTTTTGCAGACGAGTACATCCATACAAATACCAATGGAACAGCAATGTGTCTCGACTTGATGTAATAGGAACATCACCTCATGCCGAGCCAAATGCGACATCCTGCTTCTGCTTCCCGCCTGTGGGCATATCTGACCCAGGTGGTAATTGTGCATTCTCGCTAGAAATTGTCTCCAGAAACTTTCTTAGCCGAATAGTATCCAGTTAGGTTCAAGTCTCGTCCACTTTCTCCGCGGCCAATACAAATTTTTTCCTTAGTTCATGACTTTCAAATCAACGTCGGAGAACAGTAGCCTAGATTTGATCCTAGGTACTATGTGGTTTATTAATTATTCGCGGAGTCTTGACAAAACTCTCCTAATAACTTCTCGATTTCCGAATGGAGTCCACCCGAATGACAACGTACGATTTGGATGGGAGTCAAGAGAAATAGCTCGTCTTCTCTGCAGCCAAACTACCAAGGTTACCTCCACCAAAACACAAAGATGAGAGTATAAATGGGACCTTGCAAAATATCAAACAACACTCTAGTTTCTATGCAAAGCTTAATGTATTACAAAAGGCGGCCTTCTTCTCAAGGTAACTGAGAATCGAAACCCATCCATACCAAAATAGAACATCAAGTGACCAAACGGTTGTTAAACAAATCCAAAAAAGGTAAGTAAAGGCAAACAAAATGATCACACCAAAGTAACATGCATAAATTCCGAAAGCAAACCAAAATACGCACATACAAATTAAACAGGGAAAGAATACTTGAACAAATCTACTAATCTGACAATGCATGCAAAAATCCACGAATGCACCTTGATGCAATCTACTAAATTCGGCCGCAAAAGACAGACCTCAAAGACGTGGTTCTTGCTTTGAATGACATTGTAAAAATGATTCAAAAATTTAGTAACAAGAGATCTGCACAACACGAGAGAGATAGACAGAGAAGCTTAGCCTAGGTTAGAAAAATTCAAACTAGACCTCCAACCAAAAAAAACCAACCGAACCACACCTCTATTCGATTTCTTTGAATTTAGTGAACCAGGAAGAAAACCTAAAACACTGGAACATACAACCAAACACACATACATACATAACAAAATAAAAAGCTAGATTACCTAAATATGTTTGAAGTACCAAGAGGAAAACAAGAAAGTCAAGCAAATAATTTACACAAGAATGAAAATCCGAAACAGAGCCTACAAATATGAATACAAAAATGTTCTGCAACAAGGTACAACATTTTCGTAACTAGTACATATCTACTAGCTATTACTACCTTGCTCTTCTCCGTTATGATTTGTAATTTTCTAATTGTGGAACTTTCCAAAGGAAATTCATAAATGTCTAGCAAATATATGAAGGTGATATCGTGCATGACAAGTCGTTACATTTCATGGACCTACTACACGCAATAAGCTCCTTCACTTCGCACGCACACTTACTTATCTTGTTTTTCGACAACACAAACTTCAAACTGAAAATCATACAAATATTTCAGGAGCTTTATCTTCTTACAAGATGATAGATGGAATGTTTGTCCAAAATTTACCCGCTAGCAGCTGTAAATCCTCCAAAAGATGAATAACCTTGGAGGTCAAAAAACAAAATTAATAAATAAATATAGAACTAAACCGACAGTTACTCTAACCTTCAGGGCCACTTGATACATACCGCTACTCAAGTAGAGAAAAAAGACAAAAACCAGAATGTTTCCGCAGGCTTTCAAAACAAAGAACCCGTCTTCATGAGCTTTATCTTCTTACAAAATAATAGATGCCCCCTTCTACTGCGAAGGGGGCATGAGGAAACTGAATTTAAATATCAAGACTAAGTATGATGAATTCAATTGATGATAAAAGTATGATATACGATGTCAATTGTAAGTAAAACAATGCAGTTGAATACAAATTCACTATACTTTTTGCTCCAATCTATTGACACCCAGTTAATACGATACAGATGACCTGCAACTAAAATATGAACTGCAGTAGCTAAATGATAATGAGATGTATCAGTTAACCATAAACCGCCAGTTACTGGATTAAGTCCTCCACGAAAAGTTAAAAAGTCGGAATATACTGACCGATTTAAAGTATAAAAAGGAGTTAACGCTTTTGCAAAACTAGGGTAAAGCATTAGTTTACACTAACTTCTGACCAAATGAAAATGAGGATAAATTTACAAAGTACATCTCAAACAATATATTAAATGAACATCTAACATATATACAGCTTATGGAACTCATTCCAACAACTACATTTACAAAAAAAATAATTCTTTATCATATTAAAATAAATTTGTGTTTTACTTTTAATATCTAGAAATTGATTAACGCAAAATTTAATTACAAAACGCTTCTGCTAAATGAAAGCATCACAAAACTTATAAATCAACACAAATTTTGGAACATTCCGAAAGCTTGTAAGCTTTCAGAATGTTCCAATTTGTTCTTTGGAAACTCAGTAGATGCTCTCAATTACTAGTTCTAGTCACTTAAAACTCTTGATATACTTCAATGTATTGGGAATGGGAAAATAGCAAACGTCAATTTCCTATCTAAAATTATCTTTTGTGATTTCAAAAATCACGAGTGGACGCACAACAACCTCCTCTAGGTCTACATTGATAGTTTGAGCTCATTTTAGAAGTTTACATACACACCACTTAGGACCATGAACATACTTTACATCGTACTTATTTTACTAACTTCTAAAATCACATGAACCTACTTTGCTTTCTACTTATTCTCCTTACTACTACAAAAACATGAACATCAGTTTAATCTTCGATAATTCCAATCCTTTTGATTCCTTATCCTATTAGTACAAGCAAAATAAAATATCAATCTACAATTTCCATGAACCTAGCAACTGACAGAAGTACATCATCCTACTTAGTCTCTGATTTGTTGGAGACAACCCAGTCGATTAGAATCCAGAACTCATATACATTTTGTCATAACTTATTTTGTTGATTTAACCATTGTAAAAATTACTTAGTCGGTGAACTCTAATCCAGAAACCATTTGTTTCCAGCATAACTAGCTTCTCGTGAACTCTCGGATATCTAACGCCAATTATCCACAACGATAGTAGCAACAATGATCCTCGAACGATCATGCAACCTTAAAACACCGACCTCATGATGATCAGAAATAATAAAAAATAACGGGGAATTCCCTTTTGCGTGGTTGTCGAGGTGCGTAGCTATCTTGTTGACTTCCAACACTTCACATGGATATATTATTAACTTGCATCAAAGGTTAGAAAGTCTGACGAAAAAGTGTTGCAAAAGAAATATGTTGTTCGATTAACTTGAGATTTCCATCATGGACTACTCTTGCAGGCTGGCTGATATGTTAACATCACTCAACCTGGTGGATAAGATCGTCTGCCTGGGTTGTTGGAATTAAGAAGTTGACCAATTCCCCTTGTTCAAATCCATTAGAAAAAGAAGCCGAAGAAAATGCAAAAACAACGAGACAAAATTAGTCACTTCTTGAGCAAGCACACAATCCTAATCTTACTCCAAGGCAGTAAAGGAAAAAGAAATACAACTTTTTTCAAAACACCACCTCTACCTCTCATTAACATACGATAACCACTAGTTCCAATAGAAAAGTAGTCTGCTCATGAAGGCATCCACGATCACAGGTCCCCAACACAAACACTACTTATAAATCTCAATCACCCTTCTCTACGCGCCTCGAGATTGGCACTGCATTGTTCCCTTGGCCACGTAATGCCCTTTAGCAATGCAATCTTCAACAAGATTAAAGATATGAAATTTTCTCCACAATTATAATGCTCATTTATGAACTTAGCATACATCAAGAAAACAAAACAATTGCTAAAGTCGGTATTGTTAGCACTATTATGATAACAAATCAGTTTGTGGACTTACCAAAGTGGAAATCATGCTCACATGGAAGTTTGGCAACCAATCTTTCCCGCCATGGACGAGTACATCCAGACAAATGAAACAATCATTGACATCATTGGCATGTTTGATGGCCCACAGGTAGATCCAGGTGGTACTTTGTGTATTCTCGCTTTCTTCATAAACTTTCTCCACCATATCGTACCCAGGTCGTCGTTGTGATCGTTCATGATGTCCAAATCAATATATTCCATTACTCTCGTCATTAACTCTGCCAATAACCTTTCAAATTTACTATCCATGGATTTAATTGCAGTCAATCCAGATGACAATGTAGGATTCAAGAGAAGGAGTCCCTCTTCTCTGCTTCTCTGCAGCCATACTAGCGGAATTAAATCCACAAAAATGAGAATATAAATGGTACCTTACATAGCCCTACATATGGGCGATCGCCTAACTTAAATGTAGATGCAAGGTCCTCTCGGCCCAACAAGTGAGCGATCTCCTCACTTGAACGTAGCTGCGAGGTGCTGTCAGCCCTAGAGATGAGTGATAATCTCACTTAAACGTAGCTGAGAGCCCTACAGATGGGCGAGAGTCTCATACAATTACAAGAAAAAAATGTAAAAGATAAAAATGGCGACAGTCTCAAAAAAATTACAAATCATGCCATTCACAAGTAAATACCCTCTTGTACCTTGTATCTTGTATCATATAATGTATATATGACCCACAAGTTCCATACGGGTAATCGCCTCACTTGAACCTACCTGCAAGCTGTTCTCAGCACCTCACAGCTACGTTATATTATGATTATTATATAAAGTGTATTAATCTTAATATCTAAAATTTGACTAATCCAAAAAGTTTTAACAAAAAAATTCTTATCAATGAAATTTAACAAGACACATAAATAAACACGATGCAATGCAAACTCAAATAAACTTTCAACATCTTTGAACCTTTGATCTTGGAAAACAGAGCACATAGAGGAGTTCTGAAATATAATCTCCATCCATATTACTGCTCAGTCATACAATGCACAAAACCTACTGTGGATATCTTTGAGCTAGGATACCACTCATTGTGTTCCAGAAATAAAAAAATTTCCACAGCTCCCCGGTTTGAAACAACTGGAATGTTACAATATTGCTTCTTAACTGTCCAAGTGAGCAGATTGTATAAAACTTTGCCAGCTTCTGTGTAATTTCATTGCTCAGAATATCTTTACTACTTATATTAGATAGTTTAGAAAGGTCTTGCGAGATATGTATTACCTACTTGAACCCTGCACAATCACTATCTGATAATCCCTGGTACAATCGCACATATTATAGAAATTAGAATAGCCTCTTGACCATCGTATGGCCAAAACAAAGAACGCCATCCGCCTATAACCCAGTCTGTTTTTCATCAGGTGAGGAAATATATAAGCACGAAATATATAACCTGGAATGGCAATGCCATAGCAATATCAATCGTCCAAATATCATAATCTCGAGTCTAGGAAACCTATAAATGATTTGCTATAAAGTACTAACTTCCAATTTGCACATGGAATGTAATGATAGATGGAATGTTTGTCAGAAAATTACCCGAATCTGTGAATCCTCTAAAAATGAATAAAATTGGAAGGCAAAAATAATAAATAATCAATTCACTAAAATTAGACCGGCACACACTCTAATTTCAGCGTCAATTGATAAAATCCACAACTCAAATAGAAAAAAAAAAACACAGAGACCACATTATTTCGGAAGGCTTTCAAAACAAAGAACCCCTCTTGTATGAATGTAAGAAGTTTACCCACTAGCACCTGTAAACCCTCCAAACGATGAATAAACTTGGAAGTTAAAAAATAAAATATATACAAACCAATAAAATTACCGGCAACGGTAACTTATATAACGGTATCTTAACTTCACGGCAAGTACCACAACCACTATTGGCACTATAGATTTTTGAGACGTAAGCATTCTTCGTATTCTAGGGTGTGATAGGCAGTACTCTCTAAATAAAGCAATCGGACTCTCGAGTTCCATATTTTCTGTATTTCGTTTTCAGAAAGCTACGTATTTCCAACAAAAAATCTTTGTTATCTAGGTGGCTTTACTAGAGAAACTACCGGAGTCACTCAACTAAAAATTGGTGATGAAAGTTTGTGACAATATCTTTGTTGATATCCTGGGCTTTACAAGAGAAACTAACAGAAATACTCAACTAAAACGTGAGGTGACATTGTGTGTAAATTTCTTTGTTGATCTCAGTGGCTTTACTAGAAAAACTAACGGAATCACTCAACTAAAACTTTAAGGTGACACCTGATGAGTTAAACCAGGCCATTTCTATTATTTTGTCTCCTTGCTTACATCAGTAACTTGTAATTTTGAAAAGATGAAAAATTATTCAACTAGTTCTAAAATTTCAAAGTATTCTCAAACAGTCTTGGGAACAAAAGTATATAGATAAAATAGTGAAAGAAAACAAACAATTTTTGGTTTGTGTGAATTGATAACATTACGAATTCAATGATCCGGTTTAAAAAAATTTGTTTACTTAAAGGTCTATTTCCAGATTTTAAAAATAGATTCTTTCAACTCATGAAGTATTTTGGAGTGTAAGTATATCATTTTCGAACAACTGCAACGGTGTGAAAAATGATTTCTCGGTGCTGAAATGAGGAAAAAAATATTCAGAGATACAAGATAACACCAATCTCTCTCTAACGTGTATCATATGAGTGTAGTGATTTTAGTGTATATACACCCAACGCACACCCACACAGTTTTAGTGATATACATCCAAAAAATACCACGCTACAACTGTGCAGTTACTTGCGTGTATGGCGTGGCATTTCTTGGGTGTATGTGGTTTAAATTGCAAGGGAGTGTGTTGGGTGTATATACACTAAAATCAATATCACCTTATTATATTGCTGTCAAATTCAGCCGAAAACACTAAAGATTTATATAATTTTCGTTTATTCCTTATTTTGATTTGAGAATTATGCTTATTTTGTTGAGATACGGAACATACGAAATCCTCACTATATAGAGAGGACTACTAATATATTTCTACTGCGAAGGGGACATGAGTAAAGGCCCTAGCATGTCTCTCAAACCATTACAGAACAAAGACCGCCAAGGAAACCACTTTCTAGATACTGAATACGAAAAAGGAGGACGGCTCCAAAACCCATAGTGCCAATAGTCGGCTATCGTATTGATAGTGAGTTGTTGGTCTCCGGTTCATGATGGAGTGTGTAATACTCAGCATTAAATACTGAACGATATGTACATACCATGTCATTGTGCCACTGGTTGTGATTGATATGATATTTGTAAATGAGGTGTGTACATAGATTAATTGTATCCAACTTGCAAATAATTAATGAGCTGAGATATAAGATACTATAAGATATTCGCGTATGATTATATGTGCAAGTTTCTTCTGTCAGTTGTGCCTACTTTTAACCGGGACATAACTCTCGCTGCCTTTGATGGTGGTAGAGTAATGTATCATATCTGATAAGGGTTTGTCTCTTTGTTTACTGAGTAGAAGATTTTATCAACTAGCGCTGAACGTTAGACTGTATGACCTTCTGATTTTGTTTAGTTATCAATGTCTTATTTTTTCCAAGCTGGTGACCACATTTAACTTCTGTGGTCGATCTGTCGCCGTCCACGACAACACCCAAACACACAAAGCATGCATCTGTATGGGGTTGCTGTGAAGTTTCCGCTGCATCCCAATCCAACCCGTAGGAGGTTTCATGGTAGCCATATGCCTGGGCTCCCACTAATCTTGTACCAGACCAAAGTCCTTTTCTGCGTTCTTACTTTGAGGAGTCCTCAATGACCCTCTTCACTACTTTCCCATACCCAAGTATGTTCGAAATTAGGCCAGTTTCATCCGCGGCCAGATTCAAGACTGTACTTTCAGTCGAGAGTTTCAGACGAGCGTGATCCAATATTCTCTTCACTGACTCTGCAAATAAATCCTCACTTATATTATCCATCATCCACAAGAACAAAGTGTGATACGTCCCACCTTTCGCAGAACGCCCATGACCGTCCACCCCCGTCTTTCCCAGTATCTAATGCTACTGTTTATTTACTAATGCTAGTTAGTAAAAGCTCTAGAACATGCATTTAAACATTAATGTATATGAAGAAAAAAATCACATCTATAACTATCTTCAGCTACTGTTGCTTCTACCAATGGTACATGCAAAGTAATATATCACTATACACTTTAAGTAATCCTAGCAATTAACAACGCCAAGTACATTATCGTTTAAAATAGATCTCATGACATTATGAAACAACACTGTTTAAGATTAGATCAAATCTACAATTTTATCTTCGTTAAGTTGTCTTGAAGATGCATGTTACACATCTTTTCAGTAAGTTTGTAAGTTAAAGTCAAATTTAAAACTTGATCAAGCTTCTTACAAAATTGAATCATATTAATACTTGACATTCAAGATTGTATGATTTTGAAGTTTTAATAGGTTGACTGTAGTTAATTTTTTTGATAAACTTTCTTTAAAATAATGAGACTAAAAGATATGATACTTTTATCAATTACATGACTTACTTAAGAAAAATTTATTCCTAAAATTATGCATAATTATAGGATCTTGAAATAATTTCAAGATGGAAGTAATCTGGATGAAAACATCAGCTAATAAATGAAATAGGCGAAGTGATTCTCACACATGATTGAATCTGATGTGTTGTCATCTGATGCTTCGTGACGTTGGTTTGATATCTCGAACTTCTCAAAGATGTTCTAGAGGTTGTCCAGAAATAGTTATCTTCCTTGGGAAAGACGAGGGATGACTTGCAAAGTCACTGACTCTCTTTCTTGTCGAGAGGACATGCACTACCGTGTCTATGCTTGTGAGACATATCTCGGACATTCCAAAAAAAGCTTAGAATTAGTAGTGAGGAAAGAAAAATTAGGATACATGAAATACTAAAAGTTCTACTCGTAAGGTCATAAAGTGAGACTGCAAACGGCTCTAACGGCTCTAGATTCATCTTCCCAAGAAGATGTTTTTTTCTTATCATCCGAATACTCTCGACGGACAAGACGAATGAAAAACTTCTTATACTTGAATAGGTTCTTGATTTTCATAACTTCCTTTGCCACTTCAGCGATGACGCTCTACACAAGGGTGACAACTTCCATCTACTGTATAATTTCGTAGATTATCAACTGAACGAGCTATATGTGCTCAATGAGCATTATTATTCGTTGGGTAACATCCTGTGGCGAGACTTTCTTCTTCAAACCTTTAATTCCAATGCAATGTTCATTGGAATAATCGCATCCTTGAATAATCAAAGAAGATCCAAGAAAATGCAAAATGATAAAGTCTAGTGTTTATCGGCACTTTCTACATTGCCTTTAACAAAACCAAGGAGCATGAAATGTCCTCCATACCCCGTTGTTACAACAAAAAAATTGCATGTCTTCTTCCTTCACCAAACTTTTCATAGTTTCATGCAACTTTCCAAATATTCTAAAATTTTCTTATCCTGAAAAATAATATTTTATGACCACTGCCAGACACCTGAACTAAAAAAGGGACGTAGACTCTCTGGCTACCGTATTAGTTCATATTAACATATTCATACATTAAATTTCACTTGGACATTTTTTGCCGATCTACACGGCTGGATTTCGTCCTGACTGTCAGATGAATCAGTATAAGTCAACCTTACGAGCTGCATCATCTTGATCCAGATCCAGATCTAGTCTATCACAAGCTATTTGCATTTCGATTTTAGGCTGGCATGCCTACATTATCCGCATTAAAGTTCGCTGGTTTTGTGGTTGACTTTGTTCATTTCCAGTAAGGCTAATGTACGACCTCCGTACTGTACTATCTCCAATGTCACAGTGAAGCTTCAAGACTATCGTAAAATGGTGTATCTTGGCTGCTCTATTGTCGTTGTGTCACGTTGTGAGACAGTCTCCTTAATTTTGAAAGAATTTGCAAATATCGATTTCCAAATCGACATTTGGGATGTGGTGTTATTGAAGCACCCTAAGGTTTTTTTTTTCTGCTTGAGTACATCATGCGTGTAACATGACTTCGGCACTGTCTCCAAAGGTAAAGTAATTTTCAGAGTACTTGGAACTGTTTCTCCCGTTCCGCAGAGACAGTTGTTACAATCGTTTGCCATACTAGTTGAGCTCCATGAAACATGAATGTATCTACTCCAAAACCTTCATCCCGTTTATTTTATCTAATCATACTGTTACGTGCCTGATTACACAAGTTCAGTCTCTTATGTCCACTCGATCTGCTCCGTTTGCTTTTGCTTTCGATGAAGATAAGAAAACCTTTGGACTTCCATTCAGCCGAAAGAAATGACATATGGAAACGAACAGAATCATTTGACTTCATTCCCACCAAACACCTCACGTCCAAACGACGATGGCCAGAGTTAAAATATAATAATTGCAGTGTACACTAGTCTGAGAGAAAAACCTAAGCACAAGAATTTCTATATGTACTCTCACAGCTCCCAGCAGCCTCGATGAAAGGCAATTTTTCCGATCTGCTTCCCCATCAGAACAACAATTACTGTCCTAGTTTATATGGCTCTATCTCTAGCAAGTCATGTAGTGAGGTATGATGTATCCAGGCATTACTAGAAGTCAAAACCAGGAAACTCCTAGCAGAGCTTCTTCCTGTATACCATTGAAACTTCGTCCAATCGAATTTTTTTTGGTTTGATTGCCCCGAATAATATAATAACCGATCCTACAACTCATTGTTGAAATCGTTCACTAGTTCTAATAGAAGATATCGGAGTAGCAGTCTGTAAGTCCTGTAGAGGCACTTCTTCTGGACTTTTGTTCAAAATCGGTGCACAAAAATGCGTCTTACATTACATCTTCTGTTTTCTTCTAAATGACGGATAATTACGAAGAGAACCACATTTTCCAGTTGCTTCCCGGTGATGCCAGAACCCGTAACTGGAAGAAAATAGTCATGGGGCGCCTGTTCAAGTGATAAAACTTCACATCGTGCCTCGCCGGTTCCTTTCCATCTCAAATTACTCAAAGCTCTTGGAAGTTGCCGGTTGCACTATCACGTGGAGCAAGACTTCAGATGCAGACTATGATACTTTTCAGTCTTTTGCCTGGCCAAGATATTGGTGCACTATCGGCCTCGAGGTAACTGATAGCAATTCAGCTCAGATCATTGGGACACTTGGACATAAAATCTACAAATTCGTCTCAAGGATTTTCATTGTGTTATTCAAATAAACTTTATCCAGATCGTATGTTAGAAACGATCCGAAGAATTTACAGCTGCAGTCCTGCAGCTTTTGTCTATTTCTTCACTCTGTCAGCGTCCATCACTGTCTTTCCTCACATTTCTCTGAGAGTGTAGAACTCGCAGGCTCGAAGCAATCTGGATGTCTTTGCAGACATGTTGGTTCAACGATTTTAGAAAGACTTGCCGATGGATTTTCATATGAGTGTACATGCGAATCGTTCGTCGATTCAGGTTCAGGGAGTAAAAGTGCTGATGAGCACTTTTCCTCTTGGGGAGCTCACCAGCTTACATATGTAAGCACAATCTCTTGTTCAAGTCCCATAAGTTTCCAATCTCACCAGAGGACGACTGCAATTGGTACTTTCTATCAGGGAGCGGATTAGAGTCAGTCTGAATCTCATACAACGATCCATTGCATGCAGCTCAGAGAAGGATTTATGATGGTGTTATCAACACGACTCCCGCTCATCGTTCAGTGCTTGCTTTCTCTCTTTGTGACAACTTCCCTGTCAGCTCCAATCATCATCACCCGGGAAACCTTCAAGACTTGCCGACGGGGTGCATTTAATGGTGTCCCAGCTGATTGTTGCCCACCGAAGTTCATCCAAGGACCCATAGTCGATTTCAGCCCAAAGTATAATCCATCAAAACCTCTGAGAGTCAGGAAGGCTTTGCAGTGTCTGACTGGAAAGGAGCTGACAATTTACACCGAGAAGTTGCAGCGAGGATACGCTCTGATGCGTGCCCTCCCAGACGACGATCCGCGCTCTTTCAAGAGACAGAACGAAATTCACTGCGCTTACGGGACGGGCCCCTTCATCCAAAACGCCTCCGCTAATCTCACCCTTGATATCCACCTCAACTGGTTCTTCCTGCCCTGGCACCGCATGTTCATATACTTCCACGAGAAGATTCTGCAGACGCTGCTGAAGGACCCCAACTTCACCCTCCATTTCTGGAATTTCGACAGCAGTGTCACACTCTCGACGAGTGAGCGTCCTGGTTGCTTCAAGGCTGGGCATTTCTTCCCGCCCATGTACTTGGATCCCTCGAAATCCACGTTCGAGCCAAATCGCACATACAGGGCATTCGAGCCGTCCAGGCCTGTAGACCTTTCGTTTGACGCCACACAGTGGAATCCTTTGGGTGGCGTACCTCCAGTGTTTCCCAATTACACTTTGGAGGAGCAGGTGTGGAGGAACGGAGCTACCATGTATAAATCTGTAGTCTCCAGTTCTAATGCTAGCAGCTTCATAGGTAAGCCTTTCAGGGCAGGGGATGTCCAAATTGTGGACCCGACCATCGCAGCTGGAAACTCGGAGAAGTGGCCGCACATAAGTGTGCATATGTGGATCGGAGGATTGATGTATCTAGCGCAAACTTCTCCGAGAGACCCAATCTTCTACCATCTTCATGCGAACGTGGAGCGCATTTGGGATTTATGGCACAAGCTGGGCGACGGTCGTGCGGATCCATCTGATCCAGATTGGCTCGATGCAGAGTTCCTCATATGGGATGAGAAGAAAGTCATGAGGAGGGTGAAAGTGAGAAACGTCCTTGACATCAAGACCCTCGGGGACACCTTTGAGAACGTGAACGACGCCAGTTGGATTTGCTTCCAAAACTCCACGAGCACGACCCCTTCGAATTGCTCCTCGACCAAGACATCGATGTATCAATCCAGGTCAGACTGCCACAAGTGATTTGACCTCATAGCTGTATATTGCAATAATATTCACGTGAATAAGAACATATGGTAGAGAATCTGTCACTTATTGAAGCTGAGCGCTCATTAGTTGATTGTCCCGAAAGGACAAATGATGGCAATCGAGGCAATCCTATCAGCCATCAAAGTTACCAATAGAATACAAGTTTCGATTGGGAGTGCATGTCTCCCTCTCCTCGAGCCTGGCCAGTGGCATGCAGGTTCACCTTCTTAGCTAAGGCGAAGTGTACTTCATGACAATAGTATGTCCCTGTAATTCCCTGAATACGATGGATTCGGAGAGAGGCTAAGATAAGGACTCTCTTCATCGTTTATCACGGCAAGCAGCTAAGACCTCAGTTAGAAGACTTCATGTCAAGCTACAAGGTCATTTATTTACAAATTGCGTTGTTTTCTACGCATTTGTTGGAGTGCGTGCATGAGGAGCAGACCTTCAGAGTTGAAATCTCTAGGTTCGCATGTTTGGAACGGGTTTAAAACAATAAGAATGAGTTTTGGCTTCGTTGCTTTTCTTCTCCGCCCATATATGGTCAGATATTCCGTTTCGTTATATCCGTCCCAGCGATTTGATAGATCTTCACGGGCTGACCATCGATGGCAAGTCTTTCCGAATCATCAAGCATGGGTCACTGTTCACTACAGGAATTTCCTTGCGTAATATTTACCATAAATATTATTCTGTCCCCCACAGGATTGCAAATTTTAGTGTTTTCTCCCAGGGGCACGAAAATGAGTGAGGACGTGATGATGATATAGTAATACGCTTCGAAGGAACGTAGATGTTGATTTTGTTCTTGGAACCTCTTGACGTGAATGACTTATTCCCGTGCATGGCCAGTAGATTACGAGATTCGTGTCTGTTCAGAGGGACCGAATGAATCGAGAAACAACTTGACATTTCGAACTGTCGGGACGATCGAGTAAGCTGCTGCTGCTATGTTGCACTTCGAGGATACAATTTTGCGCTCACATATTCTCAGATTCTCAGATTCAGACATTGTGACAGAACCGATCACCGAAGATGCTATGGCATTTCATTGGCTTCTTGTAGCCAGATACAAGCGGGGCAGAGAGTTCAGAGATTGTACGTTATAATCAGACTCTACTTCCAGCACATATTGCTTCTCCTTGTAGTAAGATGACTGTAAGCTGATTGGAGATCGGCAAAAATATATGTTCATCTCTTGCTCTCGAAGGCTTCTTGTGACCACGATCAATTTTGGTGACGGACAAAGTGGATGCGCAAATTCCTCATCTTCTCAAGTTCGGCCCGGACTTGAAAAGCTCGACGGAGATTCGCACCTTCCCGACTTCTACTTTCGTAGGACAGTATGGTGTGGTACAGACATCGTAGTGTCTTCACAATGTGTTCAGATCTCTCCATCAACGTTTTGGGACGTGTATATACTCAGTCCGAAAGTCATACTTATTACGTGCACGAGTTATAATTTGTTCGACAATCATGAGAGACAGTCTAAGTACATGCCTCCAAGTAAGTAAAAGTAAATTGAAAGGTTCAATTGATGATGTTCTACTCAATTCTTGTGTCAATTATGTATGTAATGCAAGTTACCTCACACAAATAATCAAATTCATTTATCAGTCTGCGTTTACAATAAATACTTATTACTCTCGGTAGATGATTTCATTTGAATATATCAACAAAATTTATATAATACAAAAGCGATGGTTTCATCTCTCTGAGAATGTTCAAACGACGGAAGAAATTGTTAAAACGACCAAAGATGTATGTTCATATGACCTGTCACTGAATCCAATGTTGCATACACGTGAGCGCGTGAGTACCGATTTAACCTTCATTCCAGAACGAATCGTCAACACAGCGGGATGATTCACAGTTGGAAATCCTTCAAGCCGTAGCATCTTCTCAATTGCAGGCATCAGGCAGTGTTTCACAAGTGCAAAATTGTGGGATTTCCGGTCAGACTGGACACAATGCACGAACATGAGATGAAAATGTTGTTATCTCATACGGATCTTTGCAGTAGTTTCAGTGAGCAGTCAGTATTCATGACATGTGTACGTAGAAGTATCATGTTGGATGGTGTTTCTTTTATATATGTCTAACAAAAGTTTGGAGATGATATTTGGGATTGTGTGGGCAAAATCAATTTTTGAAATGATGAATTCATGTGGTGGTTTTAACGTTCCACTTTATTTATTATTATGCTAGTTAAAGATTAATATCAGGTGACCATGCACAGGGAAAGCCCAATTCAACCACCCGACCCATTGACGAACTCAGGCACATCTACTTGATACATAGATTTCGGTGATCTGCGTCGGTCGCATTGGATCCAACTTACAAGCATCTTCCGCTGCTTTGATGCAAAACGGCATCCTAGCTGAGGCCGTCAATCTCTACAATCTACGACGTAATCATGCAAACTGCAGCAGAGAACTATCAGTGAATTTGACCGTCATAGTCTTCCAGAGATGGAACTCCAGGAACGGCACGAACTAAGAAAGGGCGTCGATTCCATGCCGTCCTCGTTGCTGACATCGCGAGGAGTCGATGCTCCCACTTGGAGGGTGGAGATCGAAGGCATGCACCAGGCAGCCAACGGTGGGCTGTACCATGAGCTGGTCCAGGTTGATTCCAACGCACTTTCTTCTACCTGCATCCAACGGGATGTACCGGAAGTTGTTCCCCACGACCTTCATGTTAGAGTTAAGGAAACGCTGTGGGATGAATTTCCCGGGTTTGTCCCATAGCTATGGGTCACGGCCTAGGGCCCAGATGTTCACCAGTTTTTGGATCATAACGAATAAACGAATTGCTGGTATTTATTGTACCACATTCCAAAAACTCAGCAATCAGCTTGGGTCTCCTATAGCTAGCTGACTGCAGACGGATATGCAACTTGGCATGTTGTTGAATAACGAAATCTGTGTAATGCAAACATTGAGAAGAGCTTCTGGAGTCCGGGAAACAAAACAATTCATTTCAGTTGTTTGACATCTGTTGCTGCGTTTCATGGAGGTTTGCATACGTTTGGAGGTAGGATAACACTCAAGACGAGGTTTACAATACTCATGGCTCCACAGACTGCGCACAGAGTACATCGCTTCACGTGCATATTACTGAAAAGCTAGCCTACGCTGGCGGTCTTCAATATAGAGGTGTCTGAAGATTAAATATCTGAAGAAATAAGTGTGTCGTTGAAGTCCGTCATATCCGGTTCCTGCACCTTGTCTCCATGACCTTGTGGTCTTACAGCAATCTGCTCAAAATGTTACATGGCTTGATCTCAGCAGTCAAGCCCTGAGGATCTAGCTAGCGTAGAGAAGGGAGCAGGTCTGATGCTCCGCTTTCCAGCTGTATCAACCAATATGATCATCAAGCTTTGAATCTCTTGCAACCCCTTGGAGACTGGAACGTCCTTCCCGTTGTGGTGTTTCTTGAAAAGCATCCTGAAAACGACGTTATTATGTCATCGTGTGCAAAAACTTCTCTCACCATGAATGCGCCTTGCTCTATCTTGATGATTTTGACTTCTTTCAGCATTTCTCCCGTTTCTTCAAACCGGATCTGCAAGACATACATCTCGCGTCAGCCAGGTTCCTCTGCACCTGAAAATGATAAAAATATCATTTATTGAGGTGCTGATGAGTGTGCACAAAAGTCACCTTGCTCGAGTTGCTGATCTCTGTAGCAAGAAGCAACTCGAGAAAGGTGAGTATTGTTCACATTCATCAGCACGTCAACACTTTGATTTTGAAGCATGGAGCTCCGTAATGCACGCTTTTCGAATATCTTTCAACTTGGGCGTGCACGGTACAAAGCCCATATTCAGGCTCAGAAACCGAAGTATGTAACGTTGAGTACGGTTATGTACTCAACCGCATCATCGGTTCGAGATGCAAATTCTGCGTCTTTTTACAACCATCTCTTTAACCTCTGCTGACCAATAACTACAGGCAGTGAGCCTAGCCTAAGATGAACAACTGGTCCTTACTGCTGAGAAAGGTCAGCAATTTTTTTGTGCAGCTCGGTCCCAGAAGACAGAATTGCTCCGATGAAGGGTAAGAGCAAATGTCCAGGATCCAGTCTAAAGTGGCGGCTTTGATCTGGCGACTAAAAGAAAGAGAGCAATGCTTGCATCGTTGCTGTAATCCATGTGGGTATGGGTAGCTCTTTCTTGAGCTGCGTTCGTTTTTCTACTTTCATGTCCCTCACAGCAAGAAGCTCCTAGTCGAAGAAAGAAGAAAACGAGTCATTGCAGCCAAAATGAGTTTCCTCGTTTTGTTGGTCAAATGAATGTAATGACTGGGTTCGAATATGCTGTCAGCGAATGAAACCTGCTGGGAAGCAGAGTTGCATTAGCTGTGAAGAACAGTCACAAGGCATGAGCATGGATTTGTAAGACCATGATCATCTCGGCGGCGCAAAGCTCTCCCTCTCGCTTCGTCCTCACAGTATTTAGATGCAAAGCTACAAGGATCTCGTTGTCCGTTCGTCTCCACAGCCTTTAGACTCAAGTGCGCGCTGGAGAAGCTCGCACCTCCTTCATAAATTCATGTCCGAGGATATCCAGGAGCTGTATTCTCAATCAGGGGATGGATCGATGCATAAAATCCACAAATTAATTGGAAATAAGAAGTTGACCAGTTCCGCTTGTTCAAATCCATTACAAAAGGAAGCCGGAGAAATTGCAAAAATAACGAGACAGAACTGTGACTTCTTAAGCAAGCAAACAATGCTAAACTTACTCCAAGAAATATGGGTAAAACATTCCACATGAAATGCGTCTCAAGGTGGAAATAAAGAAGAAATTCAACTTTCATCAAAACACCACCTCTACCTCTGAGTACATAATATAACCACTAGTACCAATCCTATACTTGTCTGCTCATAAAAGCATCCTCGACCACAGGTCCCCATCCCGACCACTACTTGGCAAAAACCAACGAACGACCCTTCTCTACGTGCCTGCAGAATGGGCATTGCATTAGTCCCTTGGCCACGTATGCTGTAGCAATGCAGGCTGCAACCAGATTCAAAAAGTCAAATTTTCTCCATAATTATAATGCTCACTTAAGCACTTAGCATGCATCGAGAGAAACAACACAAGTGTATGACAGGTCTCGTTAGCACTGGCATGATAACAAATCAGTTTATGGAATTCCCGAAATGGAATAGATGACCACTTAGAAGTTTCGTAATGGACGAGGACATCCAGCAAATGATACAAGAATGTGTGGTCTCGGCTTGCTGTGATGGAAGATCACAGCAAGCCGAGACCAATGCGAGACCAATGCGCCATCCTGCTTCCCGCCTGTGGGCATGTCTAACCACCCACACGTCTTGCAAGTAAACGCAGGTGGTACTAGAGCATTCTCGCTGGAAAAAGTCATCAGAAATTATCTTCACCACATAGTACCTAGGTAGTTCAAGTCTAGGCCACTATCCTCCGGGCGGCCATACCATCACTTTTCGTTCGTTCATGACTTTCAAATCAACATCGGAGGATAGTGGCCTAGGCTTGAACCTACCTGTGTACTATGTGGTTTATTAGGAGTCTCACAGAGTCTTTACCAGACGCTCCGAATAACTTCTCGATATAACTATCCATAATTTCCGAATGCAGTCAATCCACATGACAACGTACGATACGGATGGAATTCAACAGAAGCTTAGCCTAGGTTAGCAAAAATCATACTAGACCTCAAATCAAAAAAGCAACCGAACCATACCTCTTTTCGATATCTTTGAATTTAGTGAACAGGAAAAAGCTCTAAAACAGTGGAGCATACAACCAAACACACATACATACATAACAAAATAAATAGCTAGATTAGCTAAATATGTTAAAACTACCATGATGACAACAAGAAAGTCCAGCAAAATCATTGACACAAGCATAAAAGTCCGGATCAGAGCCTACAAATATGAATACAACGATGTTCTGCAACAAGGTATGACATATTCGTAACTAATACATATTTACTTGCTATTACTACCTTGCTCTTCCCCGTAAAGATTAGTAATTTTCTCATTGTGGAACCTTCCAAAGGCATTTTATAAATGTTTAGCATACATACGAAGGTACGATAGTACATGACAAGTCATTACTTTTCATATACCTAATACACGCAATAAGCTCCTTCCCTTCGCACGCAAACTAACGTATATTGTTTCTATCCCTCAACTGATCTTCCGTGAGTGAAAGGCAAGCACTTTTAATGCTGAAAGACGGATAAATAGAGAAGATTAAAATTTACAAATGAAACCTATTCACAAGGAAAAACCCTCTAGTATCTTGTTTCATACAATATTGACATTACTCACAAGTTCCATGAACTATCTTGGGTCGACAAAACAAACTTCACACTGAGAATCATACAAATATTTCAGGAGCTTTATCTTCTGACAAGATGATAGATGAAATGTTTTTCCGAAATTTACCCGCTAGCAGCTGTGAATCCTCGAAAGGATAAACAACCTTGGAAGTCAAACAATAAAATAACAAATAAATAGATTAAACCAGCAGACAGTCTAACCTTCGGCGCCAGTTGATACATTCAACTACTCAAGTAGAAGAAAAAGACACAAACCAGGTTGTTTCGAAAGGCCCTCAAAACAAAGAACCCCTCTTCAGCAGCTTTTATCTTCTTGATGGATGGAATGTTTGTACGAAATTTACCCGCTAGCAGCTGTGAGTCCTTCAAAAGATGAATAAACTTGGAAGGCAAAAAATAAAAATTAAACACTCAAATAAAAATAGACCGGCAGACAGTCTAACCTTCAGCGCCAGTACACTAGCCGACTATTGGCACTAAGGGTTTTCATGTCGTACGCCTTCTCCGTATTCAATATCTAAGGTGTCATCGGAAACAACCTCAAGGAAACAACCTCAAGGACGCTTTCTACTGCGAAGGGGGCATGAGGAAACGTTCTAGCATGTCTCTCAAGCAATGACAGAACAAAGACCGCCAAGGAATTACCTAGCGCTTGCATTGTTCTGTTCGGATGAGACCTGGTACAAGTCTTCAAAATCGATATAAGGACCACCGTCGATAACGACGTCCCCAACCCTACCACTCCTGATGGCAATCAGCCTAGTTGTATAACCATTCTCGATGTGCCTCCAGTTGTAGCACAGCATTTGCCCTCTAGGCCTGCAAAGCTGATCCAGTGCACTCTGCAAGAAGATAAAGTGTGTTAGCTTTCCCCACCATTATAATGCTCAATTCTGAACTTGGCATACTTTGCACAGAAACCACACAATTGAAACAGCAGGTATTGTAACCACTGACATACAAGTTTTTAAATGATACATTGAAATATTCATTCAAAGTTCTCAGTGAAAGATGATTCTTAGAATTTAAATATCAAGACTTAATATGGTGAATTCAGTTGATAATAAAAGTATGACATACTATTTCAATTGTAAGTATAACAATACACTTTAATACAAAGTCACTATAGTTTTTGCTCCAATCTATTAACACATTGGTTTACACTTTTTTCTTGCCAAATGAAAATTAGTATAAGTTTGAAGAGTACATCTCAAACAATATATTTTATGAACATCTAACATATATATACGGCGTATAGACCTAATTCCAACAACTACACAAAGAAAAAAAATATTACTCATTTATTGAAGATAATATTAAAATAAATTGGTGTATCAATATTAATTTCTAGACTTAACAAACCAACGTTTATTTATAAAAAACTTCTACTCAATGATATCATCACGAAAAATATAAATTAACACGATGCATTACAAACTTCAATAAGCTTTCAAAATTTTGTTCTTTGGAAATTCCTCAGTAGATGCTTTATTGTTACTATTTCTAATTAGTTAAAACTCTTATGTATGCTTTCGAACATTAATGTATTGGGATTGGGGAAAAACAAAATCGTCAATTTCCTATCCAAAATTATCTTTTGAGTTTTCAAAATTTATTGAGTAGCCACGTAACAACGTCCTCTACATCTAGATTAATATTTTGAGCTATTTTTACCTCCTACTTATTCAACTAACTTCTAAAATCAGATCAACCTACTTAACTTTCTACTTATTCTACTTCATACTACAAAAACATAAACCTAATTTTACTCTTGCATCATTCCTCTAAATGCAATCCTTTCAAGTCCTTAGAACCGAACGAGCAAAATGAAATGTCAATCTACACTTCCAATGAACTTAGCAACAGACAGTAGTACATTGACCTTATAAATTCCTATTATAAAACAAGTCAGTCGGTTATAATCCACTACTCATATATACATTTACTCCGTTGATTTAACCATTGTAAAAATTACTTTCTCGCTTTTGCTCGTTAAACTCTAAACCCCAACCCATTAGTTTACAGCATAAATAGTCTTTCGCGATCTCTCGGATATCTAACACCATTTATCCACAACGATATTAGCATCGATGATTCTCGAACCATGATGCAATTTAAAAAAACCGACCTCACGTTATACTGAGAAATAATTACATACTACTGTGATATTCCCGTTTGTATGGTCATCGATGTAGCGTATCTAGTTGCTTGACACATTCACACGGATCTATTATTAACTTGTATCAAAGGTTAAAAGGTTTGAGCCTTGACGAAAAAGTGTTGCAAAAGAATTAGCGGTGCAAAAGAAAGATGCTGTTCATTTAAGTTGAGATCTCCATTGTGCATTCCTCTTGCAGGCTGGCTGATATGTTAAGATCACTCAACCAAGTGGATAAGATCATCTGTTTGGGTTGTTGGAAATAAGAAGTTGACGAATTACGCTTGTTCAAATCCATTAGAAAAGGAAGCCGCAGGAATTGCAAAAAAGAGACAAAATTTGAGTACTTAAGCAAGCAAACGATGCTAAACTTACTCCAACATTCCACATGAAATGCGTCTCAAGGTGGAAATAAGAAAGGTGTGCAACTTTCATCAAAACACCACCTCTACCTCTTAGTACATAAGATACCAAATACTACCAATCCTATAGTTGTCTGCTCATAAAGGTATTCTAGACCACAGGTCCCACCCGACCACTACTTCTTGGCAAAAATCAACGAACGAACCTTCTCTACGTGACTGCAGATTGGGCACTGCATTCTCCCCCTGGCCATGTAAATTGCAGCAATGCAGTCTGCAACAAGATTCAAAATGTCAAATTTCAGCATAAATATAATGCTCACTTACGAACTAAGCATACATCGAGAGAAACAAAACAATTCAAAGAGCTGGTCTCGTTAGCATTGGCATGATAACAGATCAGTTTGTGGACATACCAAAATGAAATTCGTGCTGACATGGGAGCTTTGTGATCGATCTTTCGCCTCCATGGACGAGGAGATCGACACAGATAGAACATGACTGTGGCTCGGCTGCCACATCCTCCTCCTCCTTCCCACCACTTGTGGGCATGTCTTCTGACCGCCCATGCCCATGCCCATGCCCACACGTCTTGCAAGTAGTAGACCCAGGTGCATTCTCACTGAAGAATTCCTCAGAAACTTTCTTTACAATGTAATGAGCAGGTATGTTCAGATCCAGGCTACTGTTCTCCCCGGCCAATAACAACACTTTTTGTTCTCTCATTATTTTCAAATCATCGTCCTCCAATTCTCTTTTTACACACTCCGAGAATAATTTCTCGATGAGTCTTTCCATGATTCCGAATGCAGACAATCCCGATGACAACGTACGCTTCGGATGGGATTCAAGAGAAAGAGCCCGTAGTCTCTGCAGCCAAACTACCGAGATTACCTCCACCAGGACACAAAGATGAGAGTATGAATCGGGCCTTGCAAAAAATCACACAACACTCTAGTTTCTATGCAAAGCTTAATCATTCCAAAGGCGAAAACATATATACATACAACCATATAACATACAAACAAACAAACATATGTACATGACTTACATACATAATAAACCATGGAGCTAAAAACTGGAAGAGACAACCAACCATACATACATACAGAACAAACCATGTATATAAAATACCTAATATTAAAAGAACATTGATAAGCATATCAACATACAAACATAAAACCAAACATATATACATGACATAAATACATAATAAACCATGGAGCTATAAACTGGAAGAGACAACCAAACATACATACATACATAACAAACTATGTATCTAAATTACCTATAATTTGAAGAACATTGCTAGGCACATCAACAAACAAACATACAACCAAACATATATACACGTAACATACATACATTATAAAAACTGGAAGAGACAACCAAGCATACATACATAACAAACCATGCAGTTACTTTACCTAAAATTAAAAGAACATTGCTAGGCATATCAAAAAGATGTTGAAAGTACCAAGAGAAAAACAAAACATGAGAGAAGTCAAGAGGAAGATACTACACTGTAATAAAATTCGGGTCAGAACCTCACCTCAAAGCTATGTAGTCCTCTTCTTCACATACGTCAGGTTCCTTGCTTGTCTCGCTGTTAGAATTATACTCTCAGAATTGCTTCGTAGCTGCGAGGTGCCCTCAGCCCTACACATGGGCGAACGCCCAACTTGAACGTAGCTGGGAATTGCTCTCAGCCCGACAAGTGGGCGATCGCCTAACTTGAACGTAGTTGTGAGCCGCTCTCAGCCCTACATACGGGCGATCGCTCCACTTGAACGTACGCAGCTACGAGCTGTCCTCAGCCCTACAGATGGGCGACAGTCTCGTTAAAAAAAATATTAAATTAACCTTTAAGTAAAACATTTTAAAGGGTAAAAATGGCGTCAGTCTCAAGAAGATAATATTTACAAAGACTGCCTATTCACAAGGAAAAACCCTCATGTACCAGGTTTTTCACCTGTACATGTGACTCACAAGTCCTACATACTCCTAACTGGGATCGACCTCCAAGGGAATACACTTTGACAAAGGCGGCCTTCTTCTCGAGGTAACTGAGAATCAAACCCATCCAGAACGAAATAAAACATCCAGCGACGAAAAGCTTCTTAGACGAAATAGACAAGTTAGGGAAAAGCAAACACAATGATCACCGAAGCAACATGAATAAATTCCGAAAGCAAACCAAAGAATGAACGAGAATCCGAGTTACGTAACTATAGAGAAATACAAATTAAACAAGGAAAGCACACTTAAAACAAATCTACTAATCCGACAATGCCGGGAAAAATCCTAGAACTATCACGACCAATAAGATGTGATCATCGAGGCGCCACCCCTACAAGTTAACTTCATACCCCGTGTTGTGAGGGTTTCATTTCAAGAGAGTCAAGCAGTACTTTAAAAGGAAGAAAATCCCTCTAGTAATAAGGTATAGATGTCCTCAAGATTATGAAATAGGGAGAGCCATCTTGAAGCAATCTACTAATATCGGCCGCAAAAAAAAAAGGTGGTTCTTGCTCTGTTTGACATTGTAACAGTGAATCAAAAATTAGTAAAAGCATCTATAATCATCTCTGAAACAAGAAGGGATCACATCTCAAAATTTTGAACCCTAATATAACCCGCTCAAGTGATCGGACGTGAAAGCTCTACTCAATAATATTTGTAAAATATATCCTGATTGAAAGTAACTATAGACCTGCACAACACATGTGAGGGGACGAAGAAGGGAGGACGAACAGACCACCACCGAGGATGCACTCTCACGGACCGTAGTGACTCTCTCTCACTGGGCTGGGCTGGGCCTCTCTCGTGCGCACCGCTGGAGAATTTATCCTCTCAAAATTGCTTCGTAACTGCATACTACAGTGAACTCTCAGCCCTACATACGGGCGATCGCCCATCAAGTAAAGCCGTACAAGTAAAACAATGCAGTGAATCAAAATTCACTGTAGATTTTGCTCCAATCCGATAGACTATGGATAAATAGATATCTTGGGTCGCCAAAAACAAACTTCACGCTGAAAATCACACAAATATTTTAGAAACTTTCTTCACCACATAGTAACCAGGTGTGCTGAAGTCTAGGCCAATAACAAAACTTTTTGTTCGTTCATGATTCCCAGACCCAGCACACTCTTTACTGACTCTGCGAATAACTTCTCGATATAACTATCCATGACTTTCGAATGCAGTCAATCCCAATGACAACGTCGGATTTGGATGGGATTCAAGAGAAGGAGCCCCTCTTCTCTGCAACCAAACTACCAAGATTACCTCCACCAGAACACAAAGATGAGAGTATGAATGGGGCCTTGCAAAAAAAACAAAAAAAACTCTACTTACTATGCAAAGTTTAATGTATTACAAAGTTAGCCTTCTTCTCAAGGTAACTGAGAATCAAAACCCACCCATACCAATAATGATAATAGAATATCCAGTGACCAAAAGGTTGTTTAACGATATAGACAAGGGAAGGAAAGGCAAACAAAATGATCACACCAAAGTAATATGCATAAATTCCAAAAGCAATATGAAGGTGATATCGTACATGACAAGTCATTACTTTTCATGGACCTAATGCACGCAACAAGCTCCTTCACATCGAGCACACACTTACTAGTATTCCTTCTATCCTTGGACTGTTCTTCCGTGAGTAAAGGGCAAGAGCTTCTACAGCTGAAGGATGCCTAAATCAAAAAGATAAAATTTCCAAAGGATGCCTAATCACAAGGAAAAACCCTCTTTGTGCCTTGTCTCTTGTACCATATAAAATACATATGACTCACAAGCTCCAGAAGCTATCTTGGGTTGCCAAAAGCAAACTTCAAACTGAAAATCACACAAACATTCCAGGAGCTTTCTCTTCTTACAAGATGATAGATGGAACGTTCGTCAGAAAAATACCCGCTAGCATTTGTGAATCCTCCAAAAGATGAATAAACTTGGAAGGCACAAAACAAAACATTTATACTTGTATAAAATTAGACGGGCAGACAGCGCCAGTTGATAAATTCTTCTACTCAAGAAAAACAAAGCGACGAACCCTTACCCGATATGATACATTACTCTACAACCATGAAAGGCAGCGAGAGTTATGTCACGGTTAATGGTAGGCACAAATGACAGAAGAAACTTGCACATATAACTCATGCGCACATATCTTATAGTATCTTACATCTCAGCTCATTAATCATTTGTGAGTTGGATACGATTGATGTGTGTACACACCTCATTAACAAATATCATATCAATCGCAACCAGTGGCACCATAACATGGTATGTCATTCATATGAATTTGTATTTAATGTTGACTATTACACACTCCATCATGAACCGGAGACCAACCACACACTATCAGTACCACAGCCGACTATTGGCACTATCGGGTTTCGAGCCGTACGCCATCTTCGTATTCAGTATCTAGGGTGTGATCGGCAACAACCTCGAGAACGATTTCTACTGCGAAGTGGGCATGAGGAAACGCCCTAGCATGTCTCTCAAACAATAACAGAACAAAGGAAACAGAATGACCTAGCGCTTGCATTGTTCTGTTCGGGTGAGGCCTGGTACAGTCTTCAAAATCAAATAACCAGCACCCTCGATCGAGGTCCCCACCCGACCACTACTGTTGGCATAGAGATTGGCTGTATAACCATTCTCGAAGTGCCTCCAGTTATAGCACAGCATTGCCCCCTTGGCCTGCAAAGCTGATGCAGGGCAGTATGCAAAAAGATAAATTATGTTAACTTTCCACACGATAATAATGCTCATCCATGAACTTGGCGTACATTGAGCAGAAACCCTACAATTGTAACGGCAGGTATTATCAGCACTGGCATAATAACAGGAATGAGTTTGTGAGCATACCCGAACAGAGCTGGTGACCACATTTAACTTCTGTGATCGATCTGTCACCGTCCACGACAACACCCAAACAAACAAAACATGCATCTGTATGGGCTTACTGTGAAGTTTCCGCTGCATCCCGATCAGACCCGTAGGAGGTTTCATGGTAGCCATGCCTGGCCTCCCACTAATCTTGTAACCAGACCAAGGTCCTTTTCTGCGTTCTTATTTTTAGGAGAACTCAATGACCCTCTTCACTACTTTCCCATACCCAAGTATGTTCAAAATCAGGCCAGTTTCATCCGCGGCCAGATTCAAGACTGTGCTTTCAATCGAGAGATTGAAAGCACAGTCTTGATCCAATATTATCTTCACTGACTCTGCAAATAACTCCTCACGTTGATTATCCATAACTTGGGAACAGTCTCCGATCCAAGTGACCAAAGCAACACGACACGCCGTCTTTCACATGAAAGAGACCAGGTTGTTTCGGAAGGCTTTCAAAACAAAGAACCCCTCTGCCCTGCAGCAACAAGCCCGTCTCCTTCCCTGTTCCGTCTGCTACATCGAACAAAGTGTGATACGCCCCGCCTGTCGCAGAACGCCCATGAACTTACACCCAGTCTTTCCCCGTAGCAACAGAAGCTACAAAACTACATCCTTGTAAAACATCATCGCCCACCTGCAATCACACGGAGGCAAATCAATGACAGATACAGCACGGGATCAATCTGTACTCCACAAACGCTAGTCGTTTTTTTATTTCTCATTGCCATCTCCAATTCTCGATCACCTCTCGGAACTTCCGAGAGGTGATGGAGAAAAGGGATCGAGAACGCAAGAGTCAATCCTTGTTGCCCTGTTATTGTCATGACCAAAGAACGCAGACAGCGTCCCCGCCCCTTCTCTCAAAGCCGCGACGACAGGCAAAACCCTGGGCCTCTACAGACGCAAATGCCCCTGGCAATCGCAACTCATCAGCTTGAACGCAGGAAACCACATCGGCTTCGTAACAAATCTCTCTCATCATCTGCTCCCACTCCTCACTACGACAAGTAGAGCAGAACGGACTCGACTCCGCCCAGCCATTGATAGAACTACGAACCCATTAAGGTCAAGAGCGACCGCAGCCCTCCTGCACTCCATCACGTCCAATTCTTGCCTCACTTCCTCGTGAATGTTATTTTATGATTCCGTTGCTCTATGAAGATCACTACCTTGCGTCATCCGCAAGAATATTCAATTACGTGATACTCGTTGAAACGTTTGTCCAACTTGATGGCTTCTATGTCTAAAATGCAGCTGGATTCCATATTTTCAGGACCCTGATCCCCTGTCGCTTCTGTACTCCCGGTCGTTTCTTCTTCCCGGGCCCTGCCTGTCTGCTCTTCTCGCCTTGGTTCTCATCTCCAGATTGCAGCCGTCTGTTCATCTTCAATATCTTCCTGTGCACCATTCCCTTCGTCCATTCGCTTCATATTCATCATCCACCTGTTCGAACTTGAAGGAACCTTATATTAACAAATTTGGTTTCATCCCGTTCCCTCATGCTTTTTTGATCTGATATTTCGTCTTGTGGAATCCGCCAAACGTCCATTCCGTTTCTCATTGGTTTGCTTTTGGTCTTCTTTGAGCACCTCGAGATGAGAAGAGTCACTTGGTCGATAAAGTCTACTCAGGAACAAGTACAGCCTCCTTGGTGCAGGCGATGATGACATACTACCTGTTGAGGTAGAAAAAACTCCTCTTCTCTGACAAACTAACAAATACTGTACATTACAAGATCACCTTCACTACCAGCCAAGATAAGTAAGTTGCTCGCGGATATAATTGGGAATTGGGATGTGGAAAGGTGCCGAAGAGCACCTTCTGTTGATCTGATTACTAAATGGCAATCTTCTTATGATAGATCGGTGACCTTACATGAATCATATCATGTATCAAGTTTGACTGATCAACGAAATGAACCAAGATCTCAGTTAGATGCGTGACTTGAAGTCCTCACGCATAGTGCAGCTAAATTGTTTCAGGCAACGAACAAAGTACGATACAGGCTGATACCCATATCGCAACATGATAAACTGTTTATTTCGTTGGTACCTTGAACATAAATCTCGTACATGGCATACTAGAGGTTGGTCACTTATAAAAAGTACAACCAATCAGGTAAAATTTTCCTCCTTCCCTCTCGAAGTGCAACGAAAATCCCAGCGTGTATTATGACGAAGTGAACTGTAATCAAGCAAGCTATCGAGACTCTTCAAACTAGTCGTGGGAAGATAAAAGATGAGCTTCCGTGAAAAAGCCATTAGCAATCTAGTGTAGATGCCACAGAACCATTCAAATGTCTCGCAAGCAAGAGGACAACGATAAGAAGTCGGTGCACGTACTTTATAAAATGCTCACGACATCTTGTGAGCGGCTGCAATTTTAACAGAATCTTTAGCCTTTTTCTTCGCTAAACTAACTAATCTGTCAACATAGGCTACGTATCCGTCTACATTGAACTTTCTCTTACAGCCTGCCAGATTCATGTAGCGGATTTTCCCGAAAACAGGACGCTCTTTCCAACCCTGTAACAGAAGCAAGGAAAGTAACATATGTAAATACAGCATTGCAGTGCTAACGATTCGTAAGCTCACACCTGATCCCCTTTCATGGATTGTTTTTCAGTTGAACCAGAACATGAAATACGACCAAGATGTTCATAGGCAACGTATATAATAAAATCAGCGGAAACCTGAGGGATATGTTGTGGCGTAGATGCGCACCTCGCTTACCTGATCATGAATGCCGCAAATGGACCACATACATCCGACGTAACCGTTTGGATCCCTGCCGTCAAGTTCATACTGCACACAATGGAAGCTCTCTTTACATAGTGTCCTCTTAAACTTAAACGTTCACCAAGGCGTTCTCAGCACGGGGTTCCAGTAAGAAAATTCAAAGGACTAATGCTTCAACACTTCCACTGGGCAGAATCAGTTGTCCGTCGAGTCCACTGCGACGAATCTAGAATGGATAATAAAAGTCAGATATATACCTTATCGTTGAGATAGATTGCTATACGTAGTGCTTCTTCTGGACTTTCTGTCCATTCAAGAATCTTCTTCGCCCAGTACATTCTGCATAAGGGAGACTTGTGAGTTAGCCAATGGAAAGGAACTAAGTTTTATTTGATAAAAAAATTTTTATCGTGTCGTTTTTGTAGTTGTAAAGTCAAGATAGATGTCGTACGTCAGCTATATGCTAGAGAGAGAGAGAGATTGAGATTTTGGCACCTCATAAATCCATGCATCTTTCCATAGTGGACCATTTCGAGCTGGGCGGCATTCCAGAGCTGCACGAGAAAACGACCGACTATTCGAGTTAGCCTTATGCATCAAGTTTAGCAAGTCTGGAACCCATAGAAACTCTCCAAGCTTCTCATGAAAAACATCTGGTCGTCCAACTAAAAGGCTTTTCTCCAAGAGCAAAATCGTCCCACATATACTATTTATATATCTCCCCCACCACTCCCCCCGCCCCCCCCTGCAGCAATTGGAGGATAAGATTTACAACTCACAGTTTCATGGGTTTTGCCTTTTTCCAATTGTTCTTGCCTGTGGATAAGTTGCAGAAATGCGTTAGTATCCCCATTTGGTTTTCACCAAAACCAAGTCTCACCCATCCGTGCGAGGTGTTATGATCCTGCTGGTCGGAGTTTGCTGCGAAAGGTGAGGCTATGTTACCATCAAGAGAAAATAATTTTCCAAACTTCTGGTGAGAAACTTACGTGTAAACGAACTCTCTTTTATCTGATGCGTGCTCCCTCAAACTCTTTTGAGCCCAGTCCCATGCACCCTTTACGTTGTCATAATTCGGTTGATAATAACAAAAGTTCTCTGACAGCTCACGTCTTACCACAAGTTCTTCAAAGAAGGAATCGGCCATCTGCAAGAAGTGTCAAACATGATTAATACTTGTTGACTTCACAAAGCATCTCATTCCCAACTCCGCGACCATACATAAGAAGAGCTAACTGATTGGGTCTGTCAAATGTTGACTCTCTTTGGCAACTAAGAACCCAGATCCTGATTTCAAGGAATCCGATAGCATATCATCGGCAATGGGTTTAGTACAATCAAAGATTTCCGATGCAAGATATAATGAGGTGGCAGTGAGGCTTCGAGGCACATGTGTGCGCGTACGTCACAACATTATGCCATATACTCGGAAACAAGCCTAATCCTGGACATCCTGAGTTCATCCAGGTTCCGTTCATGCTGAAACACTAGGTATGATTCCAACACCTAGTTGAGTCTTAGTTGACATGAGCTTTCAAGGTCAGCTATTAAACATGCGGGTGAAAAATCTCCCGGTTTTTGGAGTAAATGAGATGGAAAATAATACTGTTGAAAATACTTCTGCCACTCTTCTCCTCAAACCTAACTAAACTTCCACGACTAAACCTGCCCTCGAACCAACAAGAAGAGACAGGACAGGAGGAAAAAGTACGATACGGGGAGAAAGACGAAGCGAGAAGACAAATTCAAATATACTTCCCAATCTGAAGGATTCTGGAGGTTTGAACTTTACTGGACCCAATAGATTAGGGCCGTGGTTGTTAAGGGATTCAACTGTGAATGGACGCGGGTGGGAACAGCCAATGGCAACAGATAGCTGCTGCTACTGGTAACATGACATACGTGCCTTAAGGTGCTGTTTGCGATGATTTCGACACTCTAATGCAGCCCGCTGCGGAGCAATTTGACCATAATGCAAATAGGGCGAAATGTTGGACAAAGAACTCGTCTTGGTTGGATCATTGCGAAACTCGTATTTCGCAAGTCGTTTTGTGAGGAAACCATTCTTGGAGCCAAGAAGATGCTCCATGGCTGCATCCTCCCCAGGCACACACCAATCAACCTCTGGAACTTCTGCACCAATACTTATTCCAAAAAAACCACCGAGTTGATGAGACCCAGATATCATAGTGAGAGTTGAAAACCCCCACTCACCACCACCAAGAGTAGTAAAAACACCGCAAGAAAATAAAAGTTTGGACTGACATGTTCACTTTGTGACATTGCAGTTAGATTGGCATGGAGAATACTGCGATTCTCATACTCTGATCCGGTCTCAAGTGACTAACCTTAGAACATCATCAATCAATTCGTCCCATTTCACTGGAGGAGGAGGGGTAGAGGTCCACTGTTGGCCGGAGTTCTTGAGGATAGGAAAATCTGTCAGGTACTCAGGGAGAAGCTTGTGAATTTTTGTCCTGATAGTGCGTGCCCCATACTCCAATTTGGGAGAAGCTTCCCAAACCGGGACAACATTGTGTGCATCTACTTCGTGGACCGCAACAGAAGGACCTGAGTTAGCACACAACTCCTCTCGCCACACACGCCCTATCCTCATAGGTGAAAAATCCATCACCACCACAGATGCACCGCATTCCTCCGCAAATGCAGGTATAGTTTCTTGAGCTTTTCCCTGGCAGAACACAACTCTCACGCTCAATAGACGATTCAATAATCCAGCAATCTGCTCACAACCACCTAATGCGTCCACATTTCTTACCTCCAACCCATTTGGCGTTTTCCAGATGTGCTGTAGTACATCTGGAATTCGGTCCGTGTAGTGATTGCAAGAACGCAAATGGGGCGGAAATTGGCGTCATAAAAAGAAGAAAAGCTTATGCTTACCCTGAACAAGAAGAAGGGAATTTCGACAGCCTGGAGGTTCTTCTCCACAACGCGAAGTCCCCGTAACATAAACCCGAAGTGACGAGCCTTGGCATCCAGAAAATTGTCCACTAGGTTGAACACAACGGCCACGGAAACTCCTCTCTTCTTGGCCTCCTGTACAGCATAAAGTAAAGCCCAATTGTCCCGAGATCGCTGGTCTCGGGACATCCAGTACAAAATCGGCCCCTTCCTAGTGCCATCACCCTCCTTCAGAACACGCACCCTGCTCTTGTGAACCTCTTCAACGACTTTAAATTCGCTCCTGACATTCACAATGTCCAGTTCACCTTCAGATTTGGCAACCTTTTTAACATCCTGGTGCAATTTCTTCACAGCCGGCTCTAACTCCTCTATCTCCTTTTTCGTCCCAGCCAGCGCAGATTTTATGGAAGGTTGCAGCACCCTCGCTTTCCTCTTCGGAGTTGAAGACATGCTCCGCCCACGCAGATGACACCTAAAATCCGCACACACTCCCTGACCCGGAAATTCCACAGCCGATGAAAAGTCCACGGCACTTCGTCTCAGCGACGCTGGTGATGTGGCCAAGCTACCGCATAGCGTCAGGAGAAATCTGCAGCTGACTGTAACCATGAACGACGACAAAGACGAGGACAGACGGACAGATAGATCAGACCGACCAGCCGGCTCGACTAATTCAGCGAGCCTGTCGCCGACTGCGAAGAATTTGTCTCAGCGCGGGAGGCAGCTCAGCTGTGCTTCTGCTCCACTGTGAGTCGAGGGACTGCGATCGGATCGCTGCTGCTAGAATTCGAACCCCTGGTGAAACATTCGTCAGCGCAGGCCGAATCGAAGGAAAAGCGAGGGAATAGACTACGAGAACGGGCCCATTTCATGCTAGACTGACGTGGCGGACTGTCGGCCGTGGCATCGTCGTCACCTCCCGACCACAAGCCCGCGAGGTCGACCATCTCATGTCGCGACTCGCGACGCGCTCATCTTACGTGGCAAGTCGGCCCAGCTGGAGAACATGCCAATGTACGATTCGAACACGTGGCCGTGCAGCCCCTGACCGTGGTTCACAACGACTCGTGATTCTTTGTCCCACAATCGAGGCCGGACATTGTCCTACAGCCGCCCGATGCCTACGAGGGGTGGGGGAAAATCGTGAGTGCCGGTCGCCCTCCGCCCTCCGGAGGGAATTTCCCTACACCGTCGGGATTTCATGCTCGTGCCTCACCAGAACTGGAGGCGCGGAAGAAAAGGAGGAGGTAGGGAGGGAGGGATATGGTGGACGAGGTTCAGAGGCACGGACACGGGAGATTCGGAGCGAAGGTCAGGAAGGGGAATTGATCGGTCGACGAGAGGAGCAGGGAAGATTGCGGGGAGCAACTGGGGTCGATGTGGTCCCATTCATTGGACAATTTCGAGAATAGAGTAGAAGTGCGAAGGGTGCATGCACTGGAGCAGCAGAGCGAGCGAAGTCGGGCGGACGGACCGAGGAGTGGGGAAATCAAGAGAGTCAGTGCATCCTCGAACGAGGGTTTAGACGAATAACAGTGCAGGACGAGCATGAATGGTGTCTGTCTAGTTCGTGGAAGACGCTCAGATTGGTTTGAATTCTGTTGACGTCCGGGCCCTGGTTTTGTTGGAGGCATTTGTTGTCTTTTGGAGGTGTAAAGTAAGTCAAGAAGGTGAGGAAGTATCGTGATGGCATTCTCCACCGCGTGTACTCTGTCCGGTAGGAATCCAGGCTCATCGGTCCCATCTACGCCTTCCGGAGTTCCATTGTCAGTTGGCATTTTTCACTCTTCTCTGCCTTCGAAATCTCCCCAGCGGGTGGATTGGCCCGGAATTGGCGGTGGACAAGGACGCGTTTCAACAACGTATGTATCGTGTTCATCCTCGGCGTCCACGACTCGACTCTCATCGCGCCATGATGATTCTTCGTTGATGTTGAATGTACGTTTTCAATCCGGATTATTAATCTTGCTGCTCTGAGAATTTTTACAGCTTTAGTGTGCGCTACCGTTTGTTTGCAAAACCTAGCTCATATCCGGTTCGGGACTGGTAGCTTATTTTACGTCAACTATATGTTTCAGCTTGCAATTCATTTGACAACGCATGTTCCTTATCTTAGCAATGTGTGTTCCACCGAAAATGTTGTTTTCAGTGGGTCTGTCTACTTGTACCTTCAGTGGGGACTTGGAAGTCGTGCTCAATTTTACATTTTCACGAACAATACATCGTTTTCTGCCCGACTAAGCCTTCTTCTTTTTATTGTTTATCGATTAGAGTCCAATGACTTGAAGGCAAACACTGATTTCTTACGTTCTAATCTTCGGCGTATGCGCATTTTCGTTTTTTGCTCTCAGAGTGTTATGTAGAACATGTTTCAACAAGCCACGTGCTGAAAAGTAAATTACTGTCATCTCTTCAGGGCAATGCTAAGCAACTTGAAACAGCTGAAGCTGGTGATGTCTCACGGCCCAGGATGACAGAAGAAGAGGATGAGCGGGAAATTCTGATTGAATGTCGAGATGTCTATAAATCCTTCGGCAGTAAACATATCCTAAGGGGAGCTAGCTTTAAGGTAACCTCAATTCACATCTCTTCAAGCATCAGTAATTTTCAGTGTATGTCCCTTATTCGCAGGGATGATTTGTCGAATCTTGATTCGTATCTTTTCTTTGTCAGAGCCAGAATTTTGTTGCTAGTGAACACTTCTCATCGTTTATCTTAGACTACTTCTTTGCGAATGATTTATGTGGAGTGCTTGACATAGATTCGTGAAGGAGAGGCGGTGGGCATCATTGGGCCCTCAGGAACTGGAAAGTCGACAATTTTGCGAATCATGGCCGGACTTCTTGCCCCTGATCAAGTACCGTACTTTTCTCTTCCTATTCTACTCGTCAGTGATGTGTGTCGAAGTTAACTGGTTTGCACATGTCGTAGGTTGTTTGACCCTTAAATGGCCGCTCTGTTGTTATCTAAATGTCTCAGGATGTAACAGTATATCTAACTACTCCAGCTGTATTTGCAGGGTGAAGTGTATATTATGGGGAAAATGCGGAAGGGCTTGATAAGTGATGAAGCTCTGTCCGGCCTCCGTATTGGCCTGGTTAGTCACGTACATACACGTCGATATTGACTAGTTTAACATGTAGTTTGTCTTGAACTTTATTGTTTAGATTATTCGCTACAATGTTTTTCACCGGAAGCAACAGTCTAGGGTGGAACATAAGCTGACTTGATCAATAACGATTTTCCTGTAGGTTTTTCAAAGTGCGGCGCTCTTTGACTCTTTGACAGTACGTGAAAATGTTGGATTTATGCTGTAAGTACCAGGACACTTCCTATTCGGTCTAAGCATTAGTAGTGAATATGTACTTTTTAATGATAAGTCCACCAGTTGTCGTTGTCTGACAGCTAAACATCGCTTGTTCTGGATGATGCAGCTATGAACACTCAGACCTTCCTAAGGAAAAAATTCTAGAGCTTGTGAAAGACAGTTTGGCATCTGTGGGCTTGAAGGTTGGCTCTTTTCTATTCAATTCTCTGTAGTACGCCGAAAGTCCTTGATTGTGGACCTTTTTTGCTTGCTATCAGAGTGTCATGGGTGTAAGCGAAGTCTATCAGCAAGAATCCAATCTCTTCTGATAAGTCATTGTAGCAGTCTTGTCGAACAGTATGGACCAAGTGTTTGTTCTTGCGAATACTCTTGTATGCGGAAGTGTCCTGACAGTGGTCAGTAATTGATGCCATGTATTGCTAACACTTACCGACATTGAAATGTTAATTATAGGGTGTAGAAGATCGGTTACCTTCAGAACTTTCTGGAGGTATGAAGAAGCGTGTCGCACTGGCTCGAGCCATCATCTCTGATGATCGAGTGGAGCAATCAGAGCGCGAGGTTAGTTTCGTTCTATGAACGTCAAGGCCCTGGGAATTTATGAAAACAATTGTGGCTTGTGCAACCTGTATGGCATTAATTTTGATTGAACTACATTTTGCTGTACCGTTTATCATATAGCACTCGAACCTTGTCCAAATTTTACATTTTACTGATAGGTTTGATTACGATGCAGTTGGTAATGTATGATGAGCCCACGGCCGGACTAGACCCTATCGCATCTACAGTTGTGGAGGACTTGATTCGTTCAGTACATATAAATGGACAAGATGCCCGGGGAAAGGCCGGAAAGATCTCGTCTTATGTGGTCGTGACACATCAACACAGCACAATTCGGCGAGCTGTTGACAGGTATATTTCCCGAGATAGTGTCGAAGCGTTTCCTAGACAATGCATGTACAAGTAGCAATTTTTCTGCAAGTGAAAAAGTTAAAATCTGAGATCTATAATTTGTCTTGCTGTCGCACAGTCATTAGTGGCCGATGTATTATTTGGAAGTTACCTGCTCGTTCTTGTCATTGTGGTTCTTCATTGGCTGTTTTGACAGTGCATTTGCATCGTCCAATCTATGCATGCAGTCACACATGAATGATGTTGCTGTCCGTCGTCACAGTTTATTCACGGCTGTTACCGCCACGACTGTTGCCATATTGCTTCTTATAGAGATTTACTCAGGACGGTTCTGTCAAGCACCTTGTAACATGCTGTGGATATGTCGTCCGATCAGGTCGCTTTTTAGAGTAGAGTATGACGTTAATACTCCAAATGACGTTAATATTCACATGTATTAGTAGGAAGAACAGAGCTTAAATAATAAGCACTGCAAGCACTGTTCGCAGATTATTGTTTCTCCACGACGGGAAGGTGGTTTGGGAAGGTTTAACGGCTGAGTTTGAAACTACGACAAATCCCATTGTTCGGCAGGTACTTTCGATTGGCTTTTGGGAACACGTGACTGATATCTTTGTTTATAATATAATCGAAGCTAAACATGTGTTTTCTTGCCGATGCGCAGTTTGCGAACGGCAGCCTTCGGGGGCCTATCCGTTACTGAATAGAAAAGGTTGGATGGACAGGCAACACTTGTAAGCAGCAATTGTATCATTATCATTTCTTCGTTATCCTGCTTATATCTGCTACGTTAGAACGATGTTCCTGTGTGAAAGATAAGACAAGGAGAGATCAAAGATCCTCCTCTATTTCCATGTAACGATATTTTTGAGGATGGGGAACAGGAGGTCATGTTCAACAAATTCATCAACTCTGCTCTGGAGCTAACCTCGACCGAACAGTGAGAGTCCGATTCCCATTAGCCAGATTCTTATTCAATCCTTCAAGTGTAGAGAGCGTATTGTTTTGAGTAGAAGCCAGCGGCGCTTGAGGCTGTTGAGTACAAGTCTGATTGAGCCCCCATGAGGGACATTATGTTGGGTCATACACAGCATTGGAATCGGAGGATAGTTAATAGTTTGTACAATGGGGTCCCAGATGTGTACCTAGGTGCTCCTCCATGTTGTAAATTGCATCTTCCATCATTTTGAAAAGTAAATTTCCAACCAAGACTGAGGTCAGTTGTTTAAACCGGAACATAGGCTGCCCATTCTAGCGTCCCTTTAATCCAATATTGTTTTCTCCAATCGTTATGGTTTGCTATTTTCATTGGACTAGTATGGAACGGCAACTCTTAATTAAACATCTTTCCTCCACCCCAAAATTTCGAAACCAACGATTTTTTCAGCGGCATCAAGCATTGATTTGAGACTGTACAGAATTTTTCCAAGTTATACCGAGAGAAAGAAAGAAGTTTGACAGAAACTTGCATATGTAGCGGACGTCTAGCATAAGTTCGAACTAATCAAGTGGGTAATTGCCTATGGTGGTTAAAGCACCAGCCTTAACTCTTGAGGCAAAATATGCTCATTGTAGGCACTTCTGAGGTTACCCGAAATAACAAAATCAAATAAAGAGATGGTACAATTTGAAGTTTACGTTTGCAAAAGCAATATTGTTCTCAGTGTTACAGATTGATTCCGATCTTCTGCAGGAATTCCCCGAGTTGTATTCTCGGAGAAGGTACATGCGTTATAGTGAATGTCTTGTGTCAATAAATAACCACTTCTCACATGTGCATCCTAGAGACAAATCCTAGCAAGAACCGTATTTATATCGTGACATTGAGACTTCTGTGAACGGAGCTCTAATCAGTCTGTTCGGTTTCATCAATAGATCATGTGGCCTTGTCATATACCTTCCTTCATATCAAAATACCTTGCTCTCCTCCTTTTGCACATGCACAGGTATGGAAAGGAGGAAATGTAGTTTTCATGAAAATGGACATTCGTCCAGGGTTGAAGCTTACCTGCAACTGAAACTACTAAATTTTCTACCCTTTGCAAGTTATCACGTCAATAGCGTTTATTTATAGTACCAAGGAGCTTAGCGAGTTTATACTACGATTGTTCTATCTGCAAGAAGTACCAACTGAATTGTTTCTAATTTGAGACTAACGGCTTGTATGATAAGAATATGAAAAAGTTAGTCTTATATACCACTTAGCTCTTTGTCCTTTCTGGTTCGTCTAAGTTTACAGATGGGGTATTTGCAATTTTAATTCCATTCAAGTATTTCACACTAGACATTTGCTATACTACAATCTTAAGTTTGAGAACGATATAGTACAACTTCATGCATTCACACCCAAATGATTAAAACGTGCAGCTCTGGTGTAGCTTTCCATATGAGATTGTTTTCGGTTGTGTTATAAAATCTCCTTTGATATATATATATATATATCTTACTTTTGGCACCTTGATCGAACCGAGTTTTCGATTCGTTCTGAATTCTTAGAATATCACTTTTGATATTAAAATTGAGTTAAGTCCGAGAAACTGGAGTTGCTTCATACTACAGTAATTACTTGGTATTATAAAATCAAATTTTAAAACATCCAATTCTACTTCACAAATTTTATCATGGATTCCATTGTTGAGAAAAACTATTGTAGATACCAATTTCAAGAACAAGATTAATTAGATGAATACAATGATTGCTGAATATTGGAATCATTTATTTAACATATTGCAATGTGCTAAAATCTATCTTCACAATTGGTACATAATCTTAAATTTGGACATAGTTGATGGTCACTAAACGATATTAAAAGATCAAAACTATCGCACATGCAATGACTATCACACATGCAATGATGTCTTCATTGAATTTGACAAAATGAAACGTGAACTAACTCTTGTAACGTCAACAAAGACTCAGTATTATAGCACATAATTTGAATATTTCATTAACAATGTAGAAAGCAAATATTGTTGTGAAAATTCACGCAACAAAGAATGCAAGCGTTAGAATACGCACATGATACATCGTTTGCCCTTTTGGCTACAACCACGGGAACACATAGATAAATGTTTGGCGCAACAAGCAGACTCAATGCGCTGAGTATGAAAGCAAAGACATAACCAATTCCGCTAAAATCCTAATCTTACTGTCCTGGTACATTGAACCCATCGTTATCAACGTATTGTCCTGACTTGGATTACTTCTAAGAATCTACACCTTCACACGGTTAACAACAATCTCCTTAGCTTATAGAATTACTCTATTAGAAGTACTAGAAGTATACTTAACAAAGTTTACTCTTTAAGCTAAAATTAACTAGAACTAAAACCGTAGTCAAAATCTGATAGAGGTTAAATGTATAGAGATAACTATAAATTGCTAATAAATTTTACTTGTTCTCTTATGCAAAATTTGCATAATAGCACAATGTTTATTAAAGCTATCTAAAGTAATAACTTTGATCAACACATGAACTTGATTAAATTTATCTACAATGTCAATTGATTTAATCATTTATCAAAAATTGCATTTTTTTATAAAATACCTAATGTCAATGTGTTTCACTATCCATAAGTCAAGTAAAATGTAATGCACACTTGCTATTAAAATGAAGGTTAACAAATTCATGTTTAAATATAAACCTATAAAGTTGAATAATATTTGTTGCTACTTCTGATATCGTTACATACTCAGCTTTTGTTATAAACTTAGCTACACAATTCTGCAAGTTAAATCTCCAACTAATATATTCATCAGCAAGTGTAACTATATATTCAATTTTAGATTTTCTAAAGTCCAGATTTGTCCAAAGTCAGCATCAAGGTAGCTTATCAAGAATTTAGCATTGAAACCATCAAACAATAATACATATTTATTAATATTGTTCAAATATTTGACAATCCATCTCATTTCTTCCGAGTGCAACTTTTCTGGATTTGATATGTATCTGATCATCTTGTATTTCGCTCACCAATATCGTTTCTTGTGCACATTATCAATACATGATGCTAGCAACAACTTTGTCATAATAAACATATGACATCTTTTGCTTCTCAATGACATCGGTTGAACATTGAGCTTAAAAATGTTTGAAATGTGTTGCCAAAGAGATCTATACTACTTTAAAGTTTGTCATGTTAAACTTATGAAACACACATTGAACATATTTGTCTTGACTCAAGCATAGTGTTTTCTTTCTCAAATCACTATGAATTTACATACTTAATAACTTCTTGGATTTATTCAAATACTTCATCTTGAATGTAAACATCAATCAATTTTCGTATTTTGCATATGTTCACATAGTATTCTTTGCCAAGATGAGCATGTCATTCACATAAAAACTAGATAATAAGATAAAAGTTATCATTATTCAACTTCTTCATGTATACATACTTATCATACACACTTTATGAAAAATTTTGTGTTTTCATGAACTCATCAAATCTCACATTCTACTAACTAGAAACTTGTTTAATAAATTGTATGTATTAATGGTGTATTATACACACCTGTATAATATAGATGTTCAATACAACTTCAAAAATGATTAATATTGGAATTTCTTATATAATTCAACTTTGATGCAATTTTTCATTGTGCGAACTACAGAAATTCATACGTTTAAATGACGTCGGCTCAAAATTCATCTAGTCAAGTTATTAGGCTCCGCGTTTTGTTGATTACAAGCAAAAAATCAAATAATGTGCTTGGAAAACTAACGGCTCCAAAGAAGTAATTCTACCATTGATCGTCTGTAACCATCTTTAGTTAGTTAGAACTAAAGTAGAGGTTACTCTGAATATTGATGTAGATACTTTAGTGTGCACTAGTCATAGCTGCCACGTCAGCGATCCGCACACTTGGTATGTACAGAGTGGATGTGTTAGTTGACAGTGCCACGTCAGCAATCCGTGTGCTCGTAGGTAAGGATTGAGTGTGTTAGTTAGTGTGTTAGTTGGGTGCGCCACGTCAGCGATCCGTGTGCTTGTTAGGGTTATTCGCCACGTCATCCATCCACTAGGAGTGGGATGGATGGTGTGGATTAGATCTTATCACCTTGTACTTGTTGGTGAGAGCTATATAAGGGAGAGGAGAAGCATTGTTGGTATCTCTCATCTTCAGAGTTTACGTTTCTATCTTCGAGTGAACTTCTCTCTAAACCCTAGTGTTACATCGTCTACAAAATCATTGGAAGATTTATAAATAACGATCCGTGATATTGGCTTGTTGGATCCAGGTAATACTCGTTCTGCCAAAAATTGGACTCTGCTGAAACAAGTAATACAAAAACATCATTGGCATGATATTTGTATCATCTCTAATGAGAGTACACACTTTGATTTTCTAAAATCTGACGTGATGCAAAAACTACATGATTTGTTTGCAAGTATGTTTCATAGATCGGCCATGAATTTTCAAACGTTTGATATGTCGCATTGAACAACTTTTTTTCACGTCCTTCATCCATCGTTCAAGATATCAAGTCCGGCAGACTTTCACAGCGAGCTCATAAGAGGAAAGCATTCGTTGATCATGACAAAATCAATGAAACGCATTGTTGATTGAAAGCTAGCTTGCTTTTCCTCGGATCAGACTACCAACATTTTGCACAAGCAGTGCATCAATCTTATGACATATGATAACATGTCGGATTTGCTTGAGCACTTCCAAATAGAACTGAAGAGAAAAATTTTTGATAACTTGATGAAAAAGCTTGTTGATATCAAGATGTGTTTTTGTCAATGATTCCCACTTTTACAAAGAGTTATCAATTATGGCACCACAAGAAGTAGAACAATAACGTGGTTTTGATTGCAAATTGCGAATATGAATCAATCGAGCACATCGCATCAAAAACTTTTAGTTTCAAATTTCTTCCAAGTTCACATTGATAACAAACTTTTCAAATGTCATGATTTCTTTGCAACGCAAAATTGTCGCTAAGAACAAAATGCAATTTGCAATGGGTTTTGTTGCTCACACTCTTCACTATGTACTCAAGACACTATCAAAAAACTTTTACGTACCAAATGAGATCATGAAGAGGTCAATTGAATTGGTTGTTGATATCAGTCAAATCCACCGGATCAATGCAATCTTCAAAAAGTTGTGTTGTGAGAAATATGTTTGAGTTTTTATTCTTTTCATCAAATTGCTATGAGGCATGTGCTATTTTGCCGCACATCGTGACTCAAGAGTTTGAGTTTAAGTTGCTTGCATGACACTACTTGGCAAAACTACTGCGCTTGACATCAAATAGATAAATTTCATAAGAACTGATATGATGCAGACAATGAACTAAACAAATGAAAAGCTTTACTCACATCAGGTATTTTCCAAGATTTTGAAGATCAATCACAAGATTACCAAATGCATTGGTGTGATCTTGGATCTTTGTATCAAAATTCTTCATTTTGAATCTCATCAGCTTTAAGTAAGCATAAAACCTATTTGACAGCTCTTTGCAATGAAGTTGTAGTTCAAGAATCTCAAAAATAACAACACATTTGTCATAGACATACGCTTGTTTCAATATCAAAGGTTGCAAATGAATTATGACAATACTCTTT